AAGAATATTAATCTAAAATATTAGCTGAGTATACAAATTTGTGTTTTTATCTTTAATGAACCCAAATATATTAAAACTACATCCTCAGAAATTATTTTACCAACTGTACAGTAATAGAAATCCACTGACAACAATAGTGTTGATATCATCACTGTTTTCATGGTCCTTTAGGGTACACTAATCCAGTCATTTTATATTTACTTCATAAAATGTCTGACAACATAAAATTTGACAAATCACTTAATCTCCTTTTACTGTGGAATGCCAAAGTAAAGACATAATCAGCAATCATATCCACACAGAGACAGCCAAACATTTTGTAACTAGGAGAGATGTATTTTTTATTAGAAGTTATACAAATTGGAAATGAGTCACTGTCGTTCACTACAGTAGATATCCTCAAAAGAAACACAGTTCAAATCTTTCAATCTGTTCAGTTCCAACCTACACTTATCTCCAAAGGAACAAACAGCAATGTAGCTTTCTTCAATAACATTTACATCTAATATACTTTTCTATTTTTTTTTTTTTTAATTTTTTGGTAAAATTTTAAACAAAAGCAAGGGTATTTACTGGAGATTTTCCCTGTCAGTTGCTGACATGTTGAGATCTACATTTAGATCCATCTGGTCTTGACACTTAAAATTCTATAAATAGATCATCAAAGATCCCCCTGACTTTCTACAAATTATCCAGATGGTGCAGTCAAGGTTACAGTACACTTGGTTTAAAATGCTCATTAAATTTGTGTAATTTTGTGGTAAGTATGGGGGCGGTGTGTGATTATACACAATAATTGTGGAGCAGACAACTCAAGCTTTACTTATGTTAAACACAACCCCCTCCAGCTACAACATTACATGTTTGGAAGGTTAGAGAGTGCATTGTTACTAAAATCTCCATAATAGAATACAAACACTGTGTCATAGGTTCTATTCTGACTTAGTGCAATAAAGAAACAGACAGTTGTCAGAAATTTGATCAAAATCCCTCACGAAAGAAAGCACCTAGATTGCAGACAAGGATTTCTTTACTATCGTAAAATTGACCTTACACACTTTTAACACAAATTTGTTCAGAATGTCCTTCATATTAAGGTAAAGTTTGATAAAATCTCAAGAATGATGTTGCTGTAACACATTTTTCTTAAAATATTAACAGTGACCTTGGCCCTAAAACCTTGATACATAAATCTGTCCCAGATATTACCGTCATCCATAAGTGTGTATAAAGTTTGATATAAAAATGTCACCTATGTACAAGACATCCCTATATCTCCTCCGACATTTATCACAAGAGAATAGAACTGTGCCATCTCATTACTTAACTCCTCTTCATAATCAAAATGATAAATACTTTTTTAACAGCATCCTGTCTGATAATTTGTCTCCCTTTGAAAAGTAAAAACTTTCCTACTAACTGTATAATAAGTAATTTCTATACAGCAAGTGACAACAGTCACTCAACCCCGAGTTATTAATTAGTTACCTCCCTTTGAAAATTAATACCTATGCAGAAACTAGATTACCAGAGATTTGGTAATAAAGTGAACAAACAGACAGATTCTGAACAAGAATTAGAGCCCAATGTAAAAAAAACTGACCATGTAGGGACAAGCTGACAGGTTCTGGATAGGTACTAGAATCCAATCTAAAAGACAATTGACAATGGAGGGACAAGCTGACAGATTCTGGATAGGTACTAGAATCCAATCTAAAAGACAATTGACAATGGAGGGACAAGCTGACAGATTCTGGATAGGAGCTAGAATCCAATCTAAAAGACAATTGACAATGGAGGGACAAGCTGACAGATTCTGGATAGGAGCTAGAATCCAATCTAAAAGACAATTGACAATGGAGGGACAAGCTGACAGATTCTGGATAGGAGCTAGAATCCAATCTAAAAGACAATTGACAATGGAGGGACAAGCTGACAGATTCTGCACAAGGACAAGAGTCAAACCTAAAAGACAATTGACAATGTAGGGACAATCTGACAGATTCTGCACAAGGACAAGAGTCAAACCTAAAAGACAATTGACAATGTGAAAGTAAACAAGGTTACAGACATAAGGTTCACACTAGAAAACTCTAGACCACAGGAACTCCACACTAAAGTACATGATATCAAAGGGTTTAGTTATACATTCTGTTCAAACTGCCTGAGGTTAGAGTAGAATGGGTATCATTGATATGGTCCATCAACCACCAGTCTAGTCAGCTGGGTGTTAGTAATTATATAAAGACACAAGCCCTTGACCACTTTATAGATGTCAGCCCTCCAGGTCTACAAATGTACAACCATCATTATCTATCTCTGTCAGCTAGTCTAGTCGTTTCATTCAATAGTGATGGTATATGGCTAATCAGAGGCCCTGTGTGGAAATAGTTCCCAAGGGCTGAAATAGTGAAGGTGTGAAATTACTATCACCAAAATATGTGGGCCACGCTAGATAGGGACAGCTATGTTTAAACAATAAACATGTGTACTGTACTCTAATCTGGGTAGGGACAGATATCTACCTAATATAACATAGATCATCTCGGCAATGAACCGTCTTATCTGGATTACAATAGGACTTAAATAGTTTCGAGAAATACCTTGAAATTGACAGATTTCAATTAGGTGACTCATATTACAATGGTAACATATTATCAGTAACACTGATCCTTGAAAGGTAAACATTACAAAACTCATTTAAACTATGGCTCTGTATTATAAACAAGAATTTCTATCCAAGGTTGGAAATAAAACTTAATCTACCTCATTCTATATTGTACTAGAATCTGTTTATGCATAATTCCACAAATCTCCAGTTTGATTCCATATTTGTCAATTTACCACCAAAGCAAAAACAAAGCCTTTTACTACCCAAAAATTTACCAAAAACAGGGGAAAAAGACCTCTTCCTGGTGGCACTGAAATAAACTTTCAACAGTTAGAAGTTCTTGAATCATCCCATCCCATCCCAAAACGATCAGATAATTATACCCTTATATAAAGTCTGAGGTTGAAATATAAAATTGAAGTCAATTAAGTTTTATTTATATAACAACCCAAAGAAACCTATAGAAGTTGAGAATTAGTTTTGATTCGGCACACCACTGATACGCCAAGTACTCAATACCAGTCTCATAATTATTACAGACACAGCACTCTCTACACACATTCGAAATATCTCTGCAAATCAATGATAACAAAGATCACTTTATGTTGTAAATTCATATCAAGTATGGTGCATGTGTACTGTTCTACTTTGAACATGATTGATGTAACATATAAAGACATCATTAGTGTATATGATACCTACTTCATCCAAACATTTAACCTTACTTCAAGTTATGATAACAGTATAACAAATCTTTTAACACAGGCTTCATTAATTTTAAGTTTAATTTATTGCACCAACTCTAACCCAAGTAAAATAATTTGAGGTCACAGTAATGTATCAACATTTGATGTTAGGTTTCCCACTGATTCTGACGTAGTCACTACCAGTACACAAAATGAATATACATCTCAATCTTATTCACTTCAAATAATTCAGCTGGGTTGGAAATATCTGTGAGACTACAGGACCTGTTTCCTTTTCTATTACCGTACAGTTTGATCAAAAGAAATCTGATAAAATTTATTGATGAGATGTGGAAACACATATTTATGAACATTGTATTCAAATGTATATATTTGTGTATACATGTATATATATGTATTATGGTTGGAGTCTGGTGTAGAGGGTCGAAAAATCGAGCCTGTACCAGAAATAAACTTAACTTAACTTAACTTATAAAATTATCAGATATCTTCCTTCTCATTCATTGCTGTACTTCCTGTTTTGGTATGATTAATTTTTATGTATGATAACAGTTGTTATTTCCTATCACTACAAGTATACAAAAATCATGACAAAGTGCTAAATAAAGAAACAAGATCAAGCTCAACTGTACTACCACTGTCAATCAAGGATTTACAGTCTGTTTACAGACGGTGTCTATACTGACATTGTCTATCTGACGGTGTCTATACTGACATTGTCTATCTGACGGTGTCTATACTGACATTGTCTATCTGACATTGTCTATACTGACAGTATCTATCTGACGGTGTCTATACTGACATTGTCTATCTGACGGTGTCTATACTGACATTGTCTATCTGACGGTGTCTATACTGACATTGTCTATCTGACTGTGTCTATACTGACAGTGTCTATCTGACAGTGTCTATACTGACATTGTCTATCTGACAGTGTCTATACTGACATTGTCTATCTGACGGTGTCTATACTGACATTGTCTATCTGACGGTGTCTATACTGACAGTGTCTATCTGATGGTGTCTATACTGACAGTGTCTATCTGATGGTGTCTATACTGACAGTGTCTATCTGATAGTGTCTATACTGACATTGTCTATCTGACAGTGTCTATACTGACATTGTCTATCTGACAGTGTCTATACTGACATTGTCTATCTGACAGTGTCTATATTGATATGTCCTGACAGTGTCTATATTGATATTTCCTGATCATGTCTATATTGATATGTCCTGACAATGTCTATATAGATACATCCTGACTGTCTATATTGATATGTACTGCCCTTGTCTATATATATATAGATATGTCCTGACAGTGTCTATATAGATACATCCTGACTGTCTATATTGATATGTACTGCCCTTGTCTATATATATATAGATATATCCTGACTGTGTCTATATTGATACATCTAGACTATACTTGATGAACATCAATACAATATCACATTCAGTCACTGAGGTATCTCAACATCCATACCTGAATTTAACATATTGATCACAAAAGACCATAACATATATTGTTACAGTGATATTACTCTGTAATGTAAAACAGGAGCATCAAAATTTACATAACATATACATCATAAAATGGAGCTGGACAGAAAACAAGTCCTGTGACAACAACATAATATGAGCATATGACTTCATTTGTGTCTCACCTATTCAATGTACTCACCCCTTTCTTGTGTCTAAAGCTGCCACTTCTCTTGAGAGTACCTCCTTTGATCACGTCATCCTGAACCTCAATTGTTCCGCCATCTGGAGCTGGACGGACACTAAGCTCGATCAGTTCCTGGATTGGCTGCACTTTCACTGATAGAGACTGACCCGATGCTTTGATTAACTCTACAATTTCTTCACGACTAGTGGTTTCTACGTTAGTACCGTTGACCTCAATGAGTTTGTCTCCAGGGATAAGGCCCGTTTGTAAGTTTCGCACACCGCTTCCTGGCTCTGCAAAAATAACAGTGTGACGGGTCTCCTGATTGTCTCCCCCTCCTTTATCTACTAGCACAGCTTTTCTAAGAGTGAATCCAAAATCACCAGCAGGTTGTCGCTTGAGAATTAACTCTCGGATCCGTGGGGGTTGGGGAGGAACTATTGAAGGCAGCCTTAACTTTGATTTGTAAGACTTTTCTGGCTCTTTAGGAGGTTCCTGAACAGGTACGTTTTCATAGGTCTGTTCTTCACCATTGTTTATGATATGTGCTGTCAGCTGATTCAATCTTGTATTTTCTTTTAATATGATCGAGCTATCAATATCTTCTGCTACAGGCCCAGAATGTTTGGGCTTTAAGATACTTCTTGGTTTTGGAGAGGGTTTTGGTTTATCCGCTGAACCTCTACTTGGTACTCGCTCTGGTTTATTCAAGTCACGGATATCAAATTTTCTATCTGTGGGAGGTATCTCTCGTACTGGACTCGGCCGCCCTGAGCTGAGACTGCTGTCACTGCTATCCCTGGGTACTCCATCTGATGATGTGGCCCCTTTTACACTACCAGATTTCTTTGTACGATCTCTGTCACTAAATCTCCGGAAAACACCTTTCTTGACCTCATCAAGTCTTTTTAAGTCATCTTGTGTCATCGGTTCTCGTTCTTTAGCTTTCTTCTCCTTATCCTTTTTATCTTTCTTTTCCTTTTTCCTGTCATCTTTCTCCTTTTTCTCTTTGTGCTCTTTATCTTTTTTCATAAAACTAAACATTTTTTATATGTTTACGTTAAAAACGTTAAGAGGCTATTTCTATCTATTGTTCAGTTTCAAATTACAAGCACTGTAACACTTGTCAGCTGTGAAGATTAAGTACATCAACGTTTTATCTTATGTATGTGTATTGCCACATTAATGACATATGGCAATACAAAGATTAATGCCGCCCGGAAAAGATACTATCAGACACAATATACTATTTTACAGTGACCGCTACGGAAGGGATCGAGTCCAGGAGGACCCCGCCTTCTCAAACCTACTTTCGTTTCCAATAGCGAACGATGCTTCCTGGCTAACAAAATCCAAAATGTATCCACGAAGCATAAGGAATCGAAACAAGTCGTTGTCAACAAATCTCCATCCCACGATTAAATGTCCACACCAAGGCTTACCTTCTTCCTGTTTCCATCGACCAGCAGCACACCATCCAAAATGGTGACTATTCAGGAAATAACCTCTAGCAGCTTCCGGTTACAGTTGAGGGGGCCTCTCAAAAGAGTATTGGTATATTATTTTTATTGGTTTTATTATGATCGGTCCAATGTCATTTTATTTTTATGTAGTATTTCAAGTATTAATAATTCTGTGTTTACTTACAAATCACTTAATCTTTTGAATGTGTTTCTGAAATTAAATGTTCATCTATGTGAAATATAATACTTTTTGATATGTTAGATAAAATAAATACAGTTCATATTACTCAACGAGCACATTCTAAATATCGTGTAATGAATCAATTCTGTAACATTTGAGTATAAAAGAGATCAGTGCATTATTTTGTTTCAAACTCATTTCGCATATTTTTCCAAATCTGCAAAATGCATTCATCGCACAACAACGTGAAAAGTCGGGAAACATTCCGAAGGCCCCGAACAAGTTAGGTAAACAATTTTGTCGGTGCTACACCTGTCCACGAATAACAAAGTCTCTGACTTTAACAGCTGATTCGGAGTTTTGTATAGGCTAGATAACATGTCAGATGCAGATTCCGTTTTAAATGGAATCTACAGACCTAACTTGGCCCACATTATCCACCCGGTAACCTTGCAGCACATGGTCAGAGAATGGCTAAAAGAAGACGCTCCAAATTTTGACTATGGTGGGTTTGTGGTAGGTGAAAAGGAGGAGACAGCAGTGTTGTTGGTGAAAAGTTCCGGAGTCCTTGCCGGTAAGCCATTTTTTGAGGCTGTATTTAAGGAGCTTGATTGCACGGTGGCATGGTGCATCCAAGAGGGTGACTATATAGAGCCGATTAGCAGAGTGGCCACTGTGACAGGCAAGGTGAGACAACTCCTGCTTGGGGAAAGAGTGGCTCTCAACTGCTTGTCCAGAGCAAGTGGCATTGCCAGTGCTGCAAGAAGAATGCGCAAAATTGCAGAAACTGCGGGTTGGTGCGGTGAAATTGCAGGAACACGCAAAACTACACCAGGCTTTCGATTAGTGGAAAAATATTCTCTTTTAGTCGGGGGAGTGTCTACACATCGATATGACTTATCCTCTATGATAATGCTAAAAGACAACCATATTTGGACTGCAGGAAACATTACAAAGGTAGAGCATACTCAAAAGCCTGATTCAGTCTAATAATTCCATTTGAAATAGTATATAGATGAGAGGTACAAGTTTGACAGGAGTGGGGTGGTGGGGATGATCAGTTAGCTCAAGTGTAAAGTTAGTAAGTTTTAGAAACCCATATTACCTGTATTATAGGTTAATTGGCTAGAGTTATTATTTAGTTATGGTTAGTTGCATGTTGTTTGCTTTACTGTAGGTAAATTAACCAGATATATTATATAGCAAGGGTTAATTTGTTAGCTCTACTACAGGTCAATTAGAAAGGGTATTATGTAGTGAGGGATAATATGTTGGTGATACTGCTTAGGGCCCCGCATCGAGATGCAGGTGCATAATAGTAATCTGCTTGTCCATCCATGGTTTTTATGGTTTCTGTACAGTATCTCAAATTTTGTTGGGCCAATGGTACTCATAATTTATGCCAAGCCTCCTTGAAGGATGTGCTTGCATGGAGCTTGTAGCTTTTCATCTCTTAAGGTTAAAGGGCAAAGTCACTGTTGCTATAGATATAGTAGAAAATCCGTTTCCATTTGAAATCTAGAGTTTGCTTTGGCCAATCAAACCCAAACTTCATATAGTATTTCCTTACTGAAAGTGCTTGCTTGGGATGGCTTTACAGTTTTGAAGGTCAAAGGTAAAGGTCACTGTTACTATAAATAGAAAAAATAAGTTTTCCTGCGATAACTCAAGTTTGCTTTGGCCAATCAAACTCACACCTCATATAATGCTTCCTTACGAAAATGACTGCTTTGAATTGCTTTTCAGGTCCCAGGGTCAATGGTCCAGATTACAGTTATTCAAAGTAGAAATTTGGGTTTTTGTGATATAACTTGGGTTCCCTTGGGCCAATCAAACTCAAACCTAATACAATGCTTTCTTACTGAAAGCGCTTGCTATGGATTACTTCTCAGTCCCAGAAATCAAAGGTTCTATTGCTGCTAGAATGGAAATCCATTTAGTGGAATAACTTGATGTGATGCTTCTTAACCAGAAGTGCTTGTTATAGGTAGATTCCATTCAGGGTCAAAGGTCACTGCAACTATAAGTTAAAATCAGTATCTGTATGATAACTTAACTTTCTTATCAAATGTGCTTGCTTGGGATATTGCTTTTTATATACTAATTCTAAGTTCAAGTTCACTTTTATTATGAATTAAAAAAAATCACATTGTTGAATGTATTTGTTAGTATGTATTTTTTTTGTATTATTTAACCAGAGTTAATTAGTTGGCTATACTGAAGGTAAATTAGTAAGGGGTAATATTTAGCCAGGGATAATTAGTTATGGTAACTCTAGTTAGCTGGGATATTAATCACGATAATCCAGTTAGCTGGGATATTAGTCACAGTACATTTTTTTTTGTTAATAGCCAGGGTAAAAGTCATGGTCACTGTAGTTAGCTGGGATATTAAGTCATGGTAATCCAGTTTGCTGGGATATTAGTCAGGGTAATCCAGTTTGCTGGGATATTAGTCAGGGTAATCCAGTTACCTGGAATATCAGTCAGGGTAATCCAGTTAGCTGGGATATTAGTCAGGGTAATCCAGTTAGCTGGGATATTAGTCAGGGTAATCCAGTTAGCTGGGATATTAGTCATGGTAATCCAGTTAGCTGGGATGTTAGTCATGGTAATCCAGTTACCTGGGATATTAGTCAGGGTAATCCAGTTAGCTGGGATATTAGTCAGGGTAATCCAGTAAACTGGGATATTAGTCATGGTAATCCAGTTACCTGGGATATTAGTCATGGTAATCCAGTGACCTGGGATATTAGTCATGGTAATCCAGTGACCTGGGATATTAGTCATGGTAATCCAGTGACCTGGGATATTAGTCATGGTAATCCAGTGACCTGGGATATTAGTCATGGTAATCCAGTTACCTGGGATATTAGTCAGGGTAATCCAGTTAGCTCGGATATTAGTCATGGTAATCAAGTTACCTGGGATATTAGTCATGGTAATCCAGTGACCTGGGATATTAAGTCATGGTAATCCAGTTTGCTGGGATATTAGTCAGGGTAATCCAGTTTGCTGGGATATTAGTTACCTGGGATATTAGTCATGGTAATCCAGTTACCTGGGATATTAGTCATGGTAATCCAGTTAGCTGAGATACTAGTCATGGTAATCCAGTTAGCTGGGATATTAGTCAGGGTAATCCAGTTACCTGGGATATTAGTCATGGTAATCCAGTTACCTGGGATATTAGTCATGGTAATCCAGTTACCTGGGATATTAGTCATGGTAATCCAGTTAGCTGGGATATTAGTCATGGTAATCCAGTTACCTGGGATATTAGTCATGGTAATCCAGTTACCTGGGATATTAGTCATGGTAATCCAGTTAGCTATTAGTCATGGTAATCCAGTTAGCTGGGATATTAGTCATGGTAATCCAGTTACCTGGGATATTAGTCATGGTAATCCAGTTACCTGGGATATTAGTCATGGTAATCCAGTTACCTGGGATATTAGTCATGGTAATCCAGTTACCTGGGATATTAGTCATGGTAATCCAGTTACCTGGGATATTAGTCATGGTAATCCAGTTACCTGGGATATAAGTCATGGTAATCCAGTTAGCTGTAATCCAGTAATCCAGTTACCTGGGATATTAGTCATGGTAATCCAGTTACCTGGGATATTAGTCATGGTAATCCAGTTACCTGGGATATAAGTCATGGTAATCCAGTTACCTGGGATATTAGTCAGGGTAATCCAGTTACCTGGGATATTAGTCATGGTAATCTACATTTTTTTGTTAATAGCCAAATCCCCATATTGTCTATTTTAAGAGCTGAATAGCTTTCTGGAGTTGCACCAGACCTAGGCATCACTTCTGTTGATTTGCTTATCAGTTGCAGGGGTCAATACTAAAGATCATATGCCAACTGGATTTTGTGTATTACAGGCTGTGAATGATGCACATGTTGTCGGGGGATTCTCCACCAAGGTGGAGGTGGAATGTCGTTCGGTCAAGGACGGGATGGAAGCTGCAGCGGCAGGATGTGATGTTGTCATGCTGGATAATTTCTCTCCTGAGGTACAGCTCTCTTTCATTTTTAGATATGTACTAATATCTTGATGTACCATAAGTATTTATGTTCAAAGTCTGTACACTTAACCATATTCTGTACAGAGTAATGATATCAATTGTGTTTATATTTTCATATCTTCCTTCAAGGCAATACCCGCTGCAGCTAAAGAGTTGAAAGAAAAGTTCCCCAAACTGATTGTGGAGGCTAGCGGCGGGATAACGGAGACAACACTTCTCTCTTATCTGGATGAAAATGTTGATGTGGTGTCCCTTAGTCGTCTTACGCAGGGCTACGAGACTGTGGACTTCTCTCTGAAAATCTTAAAGAATGGAGTAGATCCAAGGAACTTACATGTGGAAAGTTCTTAGTATAATGATTACCTCAAGGAATTAAATTAGTGATGTTACAGAATAGTTTCCCCTTGTTATTATCTAGACGTTATTATATTCTTACTTTCAGGCAATAGTTACTATGCACCTGACCTTGTCCATTGATGGGTGTTGAAATAGTTCTTTCTTTCCCAGTGCTGAGTGTTGAATGATTGTCTCCCCTAGCTCATCACTTGATGCTTTGATAGTTCCCCCCTTGCCCCAGACCTAAGTGGTACTTTATCACGTCCCCTCGCCTATCACTAGGTGATACATGATCGTTTTTCCTTAGTTTTTGCGCCATTGTCTCCTTATGCCTCTAGGCTGGTGTAAGAATTGTCTCCCCTTGCCGAAAATGGAGCGATAAATGATATTACTGATGCAAGGTGGCACATAGTCTGTCCTTGCCAATAGCTGGGTGATACATAATCCCTTGTTGATACTAGGTAATTGTGTGTCTGGTACATGATTGTCACCCTTTGCTAACTGATAGGTAGTTCATGGGAGTTTCCTCTTACAGTCTGTACAGTGGTGGTACATGATAACCTTCCCTGCCACATCACAATCACATCATGATTGTCTCCCCTTTAATCATACATGGTACATCTTCCCTTGACCATGGCATGGTTTGGTACATGGTTGTCTCTTGTTGACCATTGCCCAATCGTACATGATAATCTCCTCTTTGACAGTCTCTTGGTGGTACATGATTTTCTACCCATGACCTCCACAGTAAGTGGAACATGTTGGACTCCAAACCGTAACAGTCAATAGATTGTACACATACGTCTACTTGCTGGGTGTTACATGATTGTCTCCCTTGGACTACTGCCAGGCAGTACACTTTGTCTCATTCTGACATGCTAGGTATAAATGGGAACCCCATGGCTGAACTATACAAAACTTTTGTTACTAGATTAGGTTGGAAATTGGTTAATGTGCTATTTCCAGTGGGTCCAATAATTCATCCCATTGCAGTATGGGAAATGTGATCAGTCCTTCAAAGCCTCTTGCAGATACAAGATAGTCATTTGTATGTACAATGTACTAGGTTAACTTGTGCTGGATATGAAATGTGATGGCTTGGTTCATCCAAATGTTAATGTTTTTGTAACTACTGCATCATATGTCTGCCTTCAGACTGCCATATTCAACAAGTTCATCTGCATTTTAGCAGAAAGTTTTCCTTAAAGTAATGTGCCAGCAGGAGGTTGATCAAGTTTTATTAAAATTTTCTCTAATGGTGCAATTTTTAATTCACCTTGTATTCATATCCTCAAGTCTAGTTTCAATTAAAATTTTACATATTTTAGAAATAAGTATTGTACACCTTATATGCAATTATACCCTAATGATATCAGGTTGTTTTGAAGTCACTGACATGATTGTAATTTTGCACATCCTATTTTATGTTTTGACAATAATTACAGAACGAAGTACTGATACTGATGTATGCAGTATTGCATTGTGGATGTTCTTTCCATCCAAGATTTCAGAGCAAATTGTGGACCTTTAATCATTGTGGTCAAATCAAGAGGAAGAGCTGTGATATATTCTTAATTTTGAACACTGATCCTTCATCTAAGTAAATGAAAAGTATTGATTTTAATATTGAAAGATATTCGTTATAATCTCCCATTTAGGATAAATGTGAAATTTAGACAAGTGTAAGTTAGTTGGGAAACAGATTTAAAAGTACCATGTTAATCTTTGTAGTCTACAGCAGAACAACTATTTACACGAAAATGGGAATTGTGTGACCAGCTGTTTTTACTGTGATTTATCTTAAAGGCTATAGATAAAGTGTTGTAGGTTACAATTTTATAAGCATCACAAATTTTCGTTTTATGAAAACAAGAGTGAGAGGTAGGTATGCTCTGGGAGATAAAAGATTAGTACACAAGTACAATGTAGTAATGGCTGAATTCAGTAGGCAAATATATATGTAACCTGAAGTTCAATTAAGTTTTGTTTAGAAGTTGGAACCATCAGTGAATAGAAACAAAAATATGGTGCAGAAACAATTCCCGTTATTTGCCAACCTTTCATAAAGGAACCATCTTGGTGCTTCCATTCATCATGGACACTGTTGTTTGTAAAAAAAAATGTACCTCTAGTGATTTATCTAACAATAAAAATCTTTCAGAAGTACTGAGGTTTACTTTTACTGGTTTTCATTTAACCTTATTTTCATACTTCCGGTTGTTCAGTTTCTACAACAAAATGTTTCAATTGCAAGATTTGACTTATACTGTTTATTTTTATGTCTTTTTTTTAAACAATATTTTTATATGAATCATATTGTAGTATTACGATTTGAGAGGAAATAAATATTGATATGGTTTGGCGAGTTGTGTAATGTGTAATTGTTAATAAAGAGGGGTGATAGCAAGAAATGTTGGACTGCAGACCGAAGACCAGGAGTAGTTTCAAAAACCCTGCAGATGGTGGTCTGAAAACAGTTAACTTCGAAACAAAATATATAAAGGAAACAGTCCATTTTATGGCTACCATGATAAATACGTCCACTTTTCTTACAGCTTTCAGACAACTAACTTTACAAAAGATGGAGATTGACCTACTACATGAACCTTATGCGACCTTTTTTTGGAAATTATGTTCAGCAAAATGAGGAATTTCATACACAATAACCACCATCCTTACATAAGGGTCTGATATACATCTTTGCCTGGAATTCTGGAATTTCTATGTTTGATTTCGAGGAAGCAACTGGGCTACCCTGAACAGCATTGCGTGACTGCTACATTCAATCTAGACTGAACAGGACTGTTGCAGTTTAGGTAGATTAAAATCAATCTATTTTTAACCTTAGACTGAACAGGACTGTTGCAGTTTTAAGTAGATTAAAATTCATCTATTTTTAACCTTAGACTGAACAGGACTGTTGCAGTTTTAGGTAGATTAAAATCCATCTATTTTTAACCTTAGACTGAACAGGACTGTTGCAGTTTTAGGTAGATTAAAATTAATCTATTTTTAACCTTAGACTGAACAGGACTGTCAAAAGTTCCAAGTGTTGGATCATTCTGATATACTTATTTCCTAAAATTCACAGAAAAATCAACACAGGAAAGATAGGTTTCTTTTTTTATTATTTTTTTTTTTCATCTTTTTTTTTTTTTTTTGGTCGTTTTTTTTGTAAGTTTTTTCTTTTAGTTTTTTAAAGTCTTTTTTTTTTTTTTATTGCCTACAAAAAGTTGTCTCTGACTCCTGTTAAAATTCACTTTCTGCAATAGGCAGTTTTTGTTGTCTACAGGTTTGTCGTTAACTCCATCCTTTTCCTTTGAATTTCCCACAGCTAGCCAGCTGTGTGCCACGATGGGCAGTTTAACCATGATCTGGCTCTGTCAGCCTTGGCCCGGCAATCATTGTTATCTTTATGCTCCTTCACAATGATCGGAGCTGTACAGCCATTTTGCACATGGCTTTATATCTATCTGTGTACGCTACTGGCTTCACAATGTGGTCAGTTCGTCCCCAGAGACCCTGTATCACATTACAGCCGAGTCAATGTCGGCACACCTGTAACACATAATCAAGATTAATCATTTTAGTACCTGTATCATGTAAAAGCATTCATCATCAGAATTCATCAAAAAAAAAATATACAGTGGAACTTCCCCAAACCAACCAAGCGTGGGACATAAATATTTGGCAGGTTCATGAAGGGTTAGGTTTGTAGAAGTGAAGCAAGTTGACTGGTCCGAACTCGGATATAACTGAACCAATACTGTTCTGTTTATTACGATACCATTCTGTTTGCGTTCAGCATTTACACCGCATATGTCCAACTGAATACAGATAAAAAGCTGTACTGAGTAAAAATATTTCGGTCAGGTAAAAAACATTGATCCTCGTATAAAATATGTGACTTTAATCCAAAAGAAATTGGTGCATTGCCCGACAATCTCGGAAGTAACATTACATCAGCTGTATGGCCGGACCTAGGATAGTCGGCTTGTCTGTAAGTGTTACCAATCAATATATATTTAATGAATTTGTGGGGTATTTTTTATCAGTATTATCTTCATAAGCATGTGATGAAATAAAAATTATTCAATTATTCACGATTTAGATGCAAAACTGAGGCTTTCTAATGTCACATCAGTTCTTATTTTCACTTTATCTGAAATCATTTCTTGCTCATTGGAATTTTGGTCTTGATTGTGTAGGTAAGGTTGATATCTAGAAGTGATTTTCAGTATATTTCAATCATTTCAGACACAAAATCGGTTCAGTGTTTGCAATTGAGAGGGATCTGTTAAGGGAAGGTTTTTATTACTAAAATGAAGAAGACATCATTCCATACAGTTTCAAGAGGTGATCAGTTTTGAGAAGGAGCGGTTTGGAGAAGTTGCACTGTATAAACTTAAGTTAATCACTTTCCTTATTAATTACACAGACTTGCAGAAATTGATCAGTTGGAGAAGGTTGTGTTTTAGGTTCTAACTGAAACATTTCTGAGAGATAAAAAGACAATCCTTGCAATCCTTAAAAAATTCTCCATTTCAAAATACATGTATCAATGTTGTATTTGTAGAAACTTTTTAAAAAATTTGTTGATATAGGCTATGTCATCCTCCAACCATTTGGTCAACATGGTGTATATCATGACAATTCATATAGATAATTTACTATTTAAAAAAGGAGGTAGTGAAACCAGTACAAATTTTCCAGAATCTAAAACTTATTTTTTGCATATATATCACTTATTCTTTAATTCTCTATTTCACAAATATCCAATTTGTGTGAATTTATAAAACTGTTATCTTTAGGTATAAACGCATTTAACATCACAATTCTTGGTCCCTCCAAACTATGAGTGAATTCACAATTCAATTGATACTTTTTCCTGCACAAGAATCAGAATTGCTCTGTGTATTCTTCACATTTTTGTTTTGACCCCCCAAGTTTGACCCTAGATCCTTGAACAGGAGATATTTATGAAATTGATGGATTCTCTGACAAACAAAAAACCTTATAATTATGGCTAGAACAATGAAACTGTGAACCACTATCTACAAGACATGCATTTTATTAATACATTCTTAATTAAGTAATAAATTTACACACAGTGCAGATTTTTATTCTACAAAAAAATTAAGGTGCATGTATTAACCCATCATATCAAAAAAATAATAATGGGAAAAAAAAAAAAAAAAAATCAATCAATTGAAATAAGACCTATGAAATGTGTTCTTGACTTTACATACTGCATTATGTTTAACAATATCTTGTTCTCAATCACAGATTTTCAGTTTGAAATAAAATCATTTCCATTAAAGCAACTATTTTGAAATGTACCTCGTTAATGTTTTCCCTGTCAAAGTCTTTCCCGTTTCAGAGTAAAAAAAAATTCTCATCCTTAGTAATGAGATTTGTGAGTATTGAAAAGATGAAGTGATCATCTCTCTATTTAACAAAGTTTTCCCTCCAATTAATTCAGAAAAGAACAAAATAAAAGAAAAGGAAAATATTATTAAAAACTATGAAACCAACAGATGTTAATTAATTCTGAATGCTATTACTACCGATGAAGGGAAGGTGTGAACGACACACTTACTATAGTATTGAACAAAGTATTGATACTATTGTATTGAAGTATTCAAATAATCGAGTCAAGTATACAACGACCTCTGTGATTGGTCAGGGGCGGAGTTTAGACAACCTGAATAGTTGATCTGACACCCAATTTGTTCCGGTAGGCAGAGTTATTGTACACTATCAGTTACATAACAATTACTAAGTAATCGCTGGAAAAATGTCCGACGACAGCAACAGTACGCAAAATTTTCTTCGACGAAATTATGTCCGATACGAACGATATGGGGAATCCTGTTTTTGTACAAGGCGATGTGGTTGTGATGGATAATTGTGGATTCCATCACCATAGACAGGGAGAGCGCATTTTAAGAAATATGATGAAAGAATATGGCGTGTCCCTGGTTTTTCAGCCGCCTTATTCCCCGGAATACAACGTAACTGAATATGTATTCAATGTCATGAGACAGAGGCTTCGGGCAAATACCCGACTTGTGTCAGAATTTCTGGAACTTGCAGTAGTAAATGCTCTAGATATTCCGCCCAAGCAACTTCAAAGTTTTTTCACATGTTGCGGATATGTATAATTTTCGATGGAAAGATAAAAAATAAAATAAAAAATATATGGGACCACAGAATTCCTTTATTTTTTAATGCAGTATGAATTATCGGTATATATCAGGAGGTCCCAGGTAATTCGTAATTCTTTGTTACATATAATAGAGCTTGGGCTTAAACCGAAATATTTTGAGCCACAGAGTACAGAGTAACTTTCGTTTTCTCGTTGTACCATCGATGGAAAAGCAAGGTATCATTGGGTGTAGAACGAAAAAAATGGGACAACCCAATTAGGTCTGATCTGAAGCCACCTGTGACTTGGACTCTTCCAATTAACCTCTCGCGACAGTCGAGTGTTTGTAAAATGCCGATGTCTGCACAGTATTTTTTCACCTGGCTCCACCCACAATCGATCTAGACTTGGCTCTGCCAATCAGAGAGCTTGTTGCATAAATTTAAGGAATTCGATTGGTGAAGTACTTCAGTACAATACTATCAATACTTTGTTCAGTACTACAGTACTTGAAACGTTCACACCTTCCCTTCATCGGTAGTAAATACAGAAGGTATAACATTAAAATTAGTTTAATTCAAGATATAGATGGTTTTCAACAAAAATGTGTTAATGGGCTTTATCTAAAACCTGGTTACTTGATTAAACAATTATTTCACTAAAATGTCCTATTACTCATTAACATCTTCTTTATAGTCACAAACTCTTACCACACTTAAATAGTACCAACAAAGTTATTCCAAAATCTCAGTTATTTACTTATTTATTTTTCTAATTACAGAAGGATATTTTACTGAAATTACTAAATTAACACTATACACATGTACTAGAGACACAAATTGTTACTAGGTAGCTTGGTCATATAATTTATCCTAGGGCAAGGGATATAAATTATTTCAGACAAACTAGGTCATATAATTTACCTAAAACTAGGGTCACAACGTTTGTTTAAGGTAAACTAGGTCATACAACTGTCTAAAATTAGGAACACCAAGTTTGTTTTAAGTTAACTTTGATATACATGTACCAATTTACAATGTTGTATATTATAGAACAAAGTTGGTTCCATGTATACTTTCACAATACACATTTTATTATAAAACTACATACAAAATGTCTGTTATACAAAATAGGTGCACTTAGCTACAAAATTTACTATCAAGGATGGCGTATTATGTTCTAAGACACTGATGTGAGCTGTATTGAGTGTTAGTGTATTCCACTATATCATATTAGACATCAGAGATAGTATTTAAGAAACACATCCGATCAACAACATCAAGCACAAGCCAGACCATGCTGTTACTGGGTACTTACACACAAATTAACACACTATTAAATGGTCCTGTTTTAATGGTTTTGTGGATAGGACTGTACAGGACCTGAGGGGCCTCCCTGTGAATGAACTGCAAAACAAAGGAAGCAGGCATAGATACAGGCAAGAAACAATACAGGGCTCACACTGGCAACAAATAGTCAATGCCTTGGTGAGCCCCAAGTAAAACGGGCAGGATAAAAAGTTTGAACTCCACAGAAACACACTTCTGATCTCACCTATCTCCAAATAATGATTTTTTTATATTAGTCATATTTCAGAATTTCTAAATGTTTTGTGATAAATATTTATATCAATGTCCAGTGGGACAATAGCTACTGTAAAATCAGAAATTTTCAGGAGTTACTATTTGTTTCTTTCATGGATATTCCTACACACAAAGAATTCATATCCATGAATTTCTATACATTTGATATAATATACTGAATTTTAACTGTAATTAGATGTTGCTTGTACATTCTACCCATGAAATCAAGTGTGCAAGAAATATTTCTAGCATTAAATTTGAGCCCCTGCAGAAAGATGATGTTACAGTAGATATAAACTATACACATAACTAACATATTAATAGGTCTCCATGTTATCCATGTTTATCAGACGAGCAATCATGCAATGGTAAGATACATTGTGAAAAATAATAAAATACCTATATAACTGAACATGCAAGGGGGAAATGCAGGATCCATGCATGTGCATGTCTGTTAAATTCTCAGAAACTGAAAAGATTCATATCTGCCAAATATTTTTCAGTTTGACAATTTTCGACCAGTAACCAAACCTACTAAAGAGATCAGAGTATTTCTGTGGAGTAATTGATTTTAACAGAAGCTGCAAAGTGAACAAAATTGTCATCAGAATATAAAGTAAAAATAGATAATGCATGACATTGTTGACATACTGTGTAGCAGTAATTTGATTGGTCAAGAAATATAAAGCAATGAAACATTAGCAAAGTTTCTTTAAGCAGGTTCTAGAACATCTTTAATCTCAAGTCTTGTAGTCAAGCAGGCATCATAATAATAACAACAGAAATTTCAATTTTTCAAAATGTAGTTGTCTGATATCCTAGCCAGACCAACATTTATGATGTTGTAGCCTACAACATGCACCAATAAAGCATGTACTCATCTGCCATGCAAAATAAAATTGTCTTGCATGAATACTTCTTTTACAGTTGGGGTACATCAGTGTATTACAGATATGTATACAAGCTCGCAATAATATGGCCTACCTTTACAGTATACATTTTTACACTGCATTGAGTACAGGAGGAATTATTGCCGTTTTTGAACCTGTAGTTTTGTATATATTTTTCCTACCAGAATTTCATCTGTTCTGGTGGACAAAAATGATTGTATTTCTTTTACCATTTGCTAATCATATATTGTAAAAATATGTTTGAAAATAAAATAAAAGATTTTTAGTTAAATGCAAATAACAAAATACAAATGTATACAAAAAATATATATAAACTATAACAGTCATAATTATATATAAAAAAAAACAGGAGTAAATCAACCTAATTCCATGCAACCACTTGACCTGGTTGTGCAAGTCGGTTTCAACAAGCATGCAGTAACTTCAGAACTTGGTGATAAGGTTACGAGTCGGGCGACTATCATTTGTGGGGAGCATGCTGGTTCAAAGTTTCACTCAAGGACCTCTATCAGTTTATCACTGATGATGGGGCAACATACACTAGGCAATAAGATCACCCAAATAGGCTAAAAAACTACTTCAGAAAAATATGTCTTCCCCAATTAACAAAGTGATGATCAAGAATACCTTATACAAAAATACCGTGTGGAAAAAAATCTATTCCAAATATTCAAACTTGTATTTATTTTATCCAATATAAAAATAACATAAAAATAATGAAGATCAGGCAAAAAGCAATGCTATACCGATTACAGATTTCTCACTCTAAACTGTTCTAAAACATTATCTGTAACACATGACAGTACCAAATAAAACCAAAGTGTTTTTGCTAAGATGGCATCACTCAGCCATAACACACACCACGTACAAAATAGCCTAGTATTAGTAAAGAACATTCTGAGGGGGGAGCAGCGTGTCCAAACAGGTTCAACAATGAAAAGTATGGAAGTGTTTTACTGTAATACAGGTTTCCATACATTTCATGATAAATGATGATGCAGTAACAATTTACCGGTTTTGTAAATCCATGCCTTTCTCGCCAGGTGTACCGGTACTACAATTTATTTCAAAAAGAGCGCATATTAACAGGCCTGGCGTCAAAACTCATAGAGGTCCTCCAGTGTACTGTTAATCCTACTGCTCAAAATGTTACAAAAAACTTTTCTCTGCTACTCTAGCAGCATTCAAATCTCAAATATAAACATCCTTCAGAAAAAAATCTCTCCCTCTACATGAATTGTTTAACATATCTTGAATTTTTACTTCATGAATATGACATGCAACTTCTGATGTATCATTAGGAACTGAATATACTTCAGATTTCAATCAATCTTATGTTAATTCTAAGAGCTGTATGATTTCACTACATAAATCTGATCAAGCATTTAGAAACTGGTATTCCTTAAATCTGCCTATCACAATTTATGCATTGAAAACTTACCTTGAGGGACAAAGGGCGGTATCTGTTGATGCAAGTTTGTATGATTATTGGCCTGCATGGCTGGCATCGCTGCAGTCTGGTAATTTATATGTCCTGCTTGTCCTGTATACAACAAATATCAATATGGTAACTGTCATTTCAAATTCTCTTTGTATCTGAGGTCTCTGTATCTAAGTAGCTATGATAATAGTTGAATAAAGCTTACAATACCTGGTGCACAAATTGATCTGACTTGTTTCTGCTTTGCCTCAATTGATGTTGTCATTAAAAATATTGGTACATTTTAAAGACGTAGAATGCTTTGGGACAATAAATAACTGGTACATCACTTTGAAATAGAAATTACTTTTTATACTGATGAAGGACCTGACATGAATTGAAAAGGTATTCAGTTAAAAAAAACAAAAAATGTGAAGGTTTTGCCAAAATCCGTTGATCACAGTTGTGGTCTGAAAAATGGTGAGCTGGGTGACAACTGACCTGCCATGTGATGTGGTACTGCATGCTGCTGGAACTGGGGGCCATGTGGCTGTTGCTGTGGCTGCTGGGAGTTTTGTTGTACCTGTGGGTTTGGCATCATTACAATCTGGGCCTGACCAGGCATGTGAGTCGGCTGACCAGGCATGTTGTGAGAGGAATTACCAGAGCTATGACCCTGGTTTAGTCCATATGGCTGGTTGTTCTGCTGAGCATGTGCATTAGCTGTAGGTGTGTAGTGGTATGGCCCATGGGGCACTGTGTGCATGGTCTGGGGAGAGGTGGGATTATGTGGGCTAGCCTGCAATGGAGGGTGCTGGATTCCCATCTGTGGATAGTTTGGGTGAGGTTGAGGGGTGCCCGAAGAGGGCGGATGTCCTTGGTTATGTGACTGGCCTGTGGGACCTTGTTGTTGGACAGGGCTGGGTGCAGGATGATGGGTGTTGGACTGAGGGTTCATTTGACCACCAGGCTGGTTCTGCTGTGGCCCCATGTGTGCAGGCTGTGGATGTTGTGTGTGTGAAAACTGATGAATGTGTGCTGGTACTGGCCCTGTAGGTGGGATAGAAAAATAAAACAGTATACTAACATTATAAGGACACCTCATGTCAACAACAAATACTACCAACAATATTAAGAGAGTGAAAAATCATAAACAAAATGAGACAAGAAAGACTTCTGCTGTTTAAGTATGAATCTATCATCTATTTATATTCATTTAACTGTTATTACTCCTACTGCTATTCAGCTAAAATGTGTAAAGACCAGGTGTTGCTATTTCGAGTTATTTCTCAACACAATGTGCCTTCTTCTATTTATCAAACAATATATCAAAACACTGTCTACCACACTGATGGTTGCCTGCTTTTGTAGTATTGGAGTTTTGGCGATCATTTTAAACCAAATGTAAGAAGAAAGGGTCCAATGGACCTATATCACTCATCTGGTATCAACAATAGCTGAAGAGATCTATGAACTTTCTACACAAGAACTCTTGTAAAATACCAGTCACAATATACCACCTAGCTAGGGAGAATTCTCTTTAACTAACTCTGTTGAGCATCAGACTAGTAAACCAGAGGTCCCAGGTATTGATATAAATAATGACCCTGTTACACAAAGACTGATCTGAAGTTATTTCATTTTATTTGAAAGAAATCTTATACCAAAGAATGGTTTAAAGAATAAGGGAATAAGTTAAATAGCAATAGGTTCTGTCTATGACATATCTTTTAAGTTCATTTGGCCCTTTAGTTAATTATAATGGTCAATAATATCCAAATGGTAACATTTCAGGAATTAATATATTCATCCAAATATCCAAAACCTCCATGAAATCCAATTTTGAATCTTCTGGAAAATTTTGGACCTTTAATAACATTCAATAATGATCTTTTGCAATCATCCAAAAATTTGTGAAACTTAAACGAAAGAGAATTTTGAATCAACCAAAATTTCTGACCTTCAGAAATGCATCCACTTTTACAGTACAAGATGACACCTGAGTTTGACTTACCATATAGATGGCCTCCACTCTGCCCTGAGTGAGCCTTACTAAATATGTGCCCCCCTCCACCCCCTGAATGTGACACATTGTTGTGGTCGATGGCCCCCGGGTGGGAGGTAGGCACCATGGGTAGTGACGTGGGTGTCACCATACGAGGAGGTGCTGCTGATGTCGTAGACGGCATTTGCATCATCTGTGAGGAACACAGAGAAAATTAACAAAAGGAAGCAAGAAGAGACTGTGGAGCAGAACACTATATATCTGTCCCATATACCAAAGAAACATCAGAATATGAAATTAGCAAAGTGTTAAAATGTCAAGAGAGAAGACAGAACTATATAACCCAATTATAAATTGAAGCAATTTTTGACAGGTGTATACAAATAAAGCACTTTTACAATGTATGTGAAAATAAAGCACTTTTACAATGTATGTGAAGATTACCTGACTGACCTGATAAAGTGTGAACACTGACCTGACTAAGTGGGAAGCCAGCATGTTGAGACAACACGTTTGGAGGCATCTGTAGGATAATCTGTGGGTGAGGTGGGACTGAGTGGGCAGCCAGAAGTGGTTGTCCTGTTGCCTGGGCTGCGGAAATGTCTGGTCTGTGACCTTGGATTGATACAACAGCTGGAAAACAAATATAACATGTCAGTCTCTAAACATTTGGTTTACTTTCTGGTTCTGCATCTTCTAACTTTACACCAAATCATGTTGGTTTCCACAGTATAGTGCAAAATCATAATGAAGACATGTGACATATTGTCACATCGTCTTGACAACAGGCTATTCAATCAGGATATCCAGGGAGACAATAACAAAAAGAGAAACATTTACATCAGATGAGCAGGTTAATGCTGGATTCTCCAATGCCCACTAAACCAAAAAGCAGAAGAAGACTCCTCTTTAGGAGGCAGGGACATATGGCCAATAACAGTAAGTTTCCATTAAACTGCATCAGTACTACTAAACATAATATTTTTATGTGATTAAAAGTTGAAATGTTTTTAGTGTTACAGAATGGATGAAAGATTTTTTAAACAATAAATTAAAATTTCATACCTTTTTTTAATATTTTGATCTAATATCCTTAGTTACTTAAGTTTGAGTTATATAAATCATCTTTCTAATTTAAATATTTACAACAAAAGGACCACTGCAATCACCAAACAATACATCCTATTTGAAATAGATTCATGGGGGATCTGTAGGGCCAAATATGAGCACTATTCTCAATTGGATTTATTTCATAGAATGGCTAAATTCCCAAAATATGTAGTTTACTCCTTAAGATTTAGAAAGGCCCATTGCCAAATGAATGGAAAAAAACTACATAATGATCAACTGGCAGTAATTATTAAAAGATAAGTAAATCAAGAAAAACATCAAAAATGAGAAAAAAAATGTGTGCAAGTTATATGCTCCCTCTCCTATCTCAATGGAACTAGACATAATCCACCCAAAATTTCAACTTGTAGATTTAGGTCCAAAAATCGTTTTCAAATTGCATAAGATCCATTTGAAGTTTTAAGTTTCCCATGTAAATCTAACATCTATTTGAGAACCCAACACAATAATGAGTCCTGCCTTAACCTAGGAAGATATAATACAATATGTAACCAAAGTGTGATCAACAGTGCAGGGGACATAATTAGAAAATACTTTCATAGGATCTGCTAGCACTAAAGCAAGGTAGAAGATGTATTTATCAGTTAGTTCCAAAACATTATCCTCAATTCTTCAGATTCCAATGGAAAAAGTGAATTACTGTTAATATCATAGGGAAAGATCTAGATCTATGTGAAGTCTGGTGAAGAAACCCAGAAATCAATGTCGGCTCTAGTATTGAGAATTGCAAACCACACATTAGGAAATGAATATTAGGCACTCAATAATACAATATCAATCACGCCAAAAACACATGTGTCTGTTATCTCACCTGATTGAATGTCTCGTCCTGCAACAATAATATTTTCTGCAATATCACTCACTAAAACCGAAAGGGCTTGTTCTTTATTTTATAGCGTTGCCTTCCATTTTTCATTTTTATATTTAAATTACAAATGACCAAACATTTGCTATGATACAGACACATTTTTCAGTATCACAAGTCATTATATCACATGCAGAAATAGAGGAGGGGGAAAAAAAGTAACCAAAACAGTTGAAATATAATTTTATAAACTTATTTCAATATGAACACTTCAAGATGCTTTGGAAACTTTGTGCAGCTGACATACCTCGTTTTGCTGGCCGAAGTTGTGGTGATGTTGTCGGTGCCTGTGTTGGCATGGAGACCACTGCTGGTGGCAACATGAATGCAGTCTGCTGTTGCTGATGGAACATTCCTGTATGGGCAGTCTGTATGGCAGCTGGCATAGCCATGGGGCTTTGGGTGTGAGGCCGTGGTGGCGTGGGGATTTGTTGTCGAATCTGTTTCTGTAAAAAAATCATTTCAATTGCACTTGTTTGTTTGCTGGAAATAAGAAAGCTTATTGGGGAAGATGACAACATGCAGGAAGCTGATAACATTTAACAAATAATTTCAGAAGCTTGTGAAGTTTTCAGGTCAATTCTTTTTTAGGATAAGCAGAATTTTCTAGATTCATAATATTTAAGCAAAATATATAATCAGGTGTAAGTGTTGAAAATTTCTGTATCTTATCTTTAGAAAATATTAAAGATTTGTACTTGATAAAAATACTCAGGGCTAATGTTGATACTTACAGGTTGGAAAACTTGAGCTAATGGATTGAGTTCTGACTTTTTCACAATACTATAAAGAAAGAGAAGGATAATTATTGTACAGATATATATGTAGAAAAAAGCTGTAGTTGGAGTTATGTTGAGTTTCCTCTGAATAAGCACAAACTTTACAATACTACTGATATATTCTAGTTATAACTTCAAACATGTACGGTTAGATTAAGCTTTGAATCTTGTATAATATGTATACAAATGAGATTTTTGTTTGAAGTAGTATCACTGTATATACAGAGATCAAAATTGACATCATAGCCTAAACACGAATGCTTCTTTTATATAGGTCAAATTGTTGGATGTATACATTTCAAAATCTGTGATTTTAGTATTTGTTAAACAACAGTAAAATGGGGCCAATTAAAATAAATGCTCCTGTATAATACTAACTCTGACGGTACTTCATTTGATTCTTTCTTTTTATCATCCGCTTTTTCAGGTTCATGTGACGTGGTATCTTCACTTTTTTCTGGAGTCACATCTGTTAATTCTTCCTGATTTTCCTTCACATCTTCCCTATCCTTTGGTTCTTCTAACTGTTATGTAGACAGAAAGTATTACAATCATTAATATATGATAGAACTGGACTACAATGAAAACAGATTTCATTCCTTTTGTTATGATGATTTAATTCACTTCAAATTATTTGCTCAAATGCCAAGTAATGTTAAATTTCATTACTTGACTGACTGCTGATATTAAAATATTTTGTAATATATTTTCCATCATAAGCAAAAAAATAACTGCAAAAGGAAATATAATCTTTTGAGAAAAACTGTTGAGATATGGAAATTTATTACAACAAACATTCCTTAGGGCAAATGCCTATCTGTGATATGGAGTTCATACTCCCAAAGAAATAAAAATTGAACCGGACACAATTTGTAAGTGGTGATTTCTGCATGTTGCATTAAGTTTAAGTAAATATTTAATTCAGACATTGCATATCAATTCTTTCTAAACTTTGCACTTACCTTAAATTGTTTCTTAAAACCTTTCAATTCTTCAATTATAGCCACCCGTGCTGAAAACAAAGTAAATCTTAATATAATATTTGCTAACTTCAAAGGAGCATAAAGTTAGAGTACCTTATATCAAAATTTCGTAAAATATTTGAAAATATCTCAGTGATTTAATAAAGAGAAACTAATATCTGCTTCTATCCACATCTTATTTAACTTCTGAGTGCTCCTGTCTACAATGTATTTAACCCCGACAGCTCCAGACTCACTATATCTAACTTTGACTGCTCCTGACCTGTCTAAATTCTATCTAACTCTAGAGTACATCACATTTAACCTTGCCTGCTCCTGTCTGTGTTACATTTTACCTTACATTCTCCTGTTTAAATCATATTAATCTTGACCACTTATGTAAACTTTGTAATTAAACTTGACTGCTCCAGTCTACATTGTATTTAACTTTGAAGGTTTCTTTCTACAACAATTTAAACTTTGATGGCTTCTGTCAGCTGTGTTTAAACTTGATTACTTCTGTCTGAATTTCAAATTTTCAATTTCCTCTTAACATTTTCTTAACCTTTACAATCTTTATTTTACCTCAAAAAAGTTCTTACTGCCTGCTTTATTTGACACAGACTGGTTTTGCTTTCATATTGTATAATATACTATCAACAGCTACAGACATTTAAGGACAACCTCCCTGTGTAATTTGAGGTAAGCTTATATTTACCTTTAGGAGTAGAGTTCCTCCTGTCTACTTTGTTTGACACTGGTGACGTATGTACAGTTGGTGGTTGCTGTTGTTGTTGCCGATCTTGTTTTTCTACTGATTCCGGGACTGGACTAGCTTTTGTAGACTGTTCTGTGTTATCTCCCCATCTAGTTTCTTCTTTTTCTATCAACACACATAAATCATACATCAATAAGCAGCCAGATGATTTTTGGGGATGAGATAGGACAAAATGGTTAAGGAAAATTGTTTCTGAGCAAGAATTATTGGGGAAAAAGATTTTTTCCGAGTAAGATGCAATCTGGGGTTCAAATCACCAAAACAGTTAAAAATACCCGTATTTTCTGAGTAAGATGTACTTCATGGTTCACATAGAACAAAATGGCATGAAGAAAATGTTTTCTGAGTAACACTTGTATTTTGGGGGTCAGACATAACCAAAATCATAAGAAAAAATGTTTTCTGAGCAAGATGCATTTCAAGGGTCAGACAGGACAAAATGTTAAAAAATTCTTTTTTTTTCAGAACAAGATGTATTTTGGAGCCCAGATAGGAAAAATAAAAAGATTTTTTTTTGGATAATCTATTTTGAAAGAAATAACACTGCAATGTGAAAGTATGTTACTATGAGTGAAGAGATCATTCAGTTAAATACTCACCTAACATTTTTCACTTTTGATCACCTAACACTTTTCACTTTTGATCTATATCTATGGTCAAGGGTGACCTTTGACTTTTAACCTTGACTGATGATGACCAATATCTTATCAGGTGTAGACCTTGGTGGGCTGATACTATGTTATTTACTAAATTTGTCCATGGGTTCACAACATATGTTGTATCCCATCCCCGTCTATGTATGTAAGTAGGGCATATAGTAAACACTTATTTATCACATTAACCAAAAGTACTTTAATGAACAGCAGGTCTTGTATAGTGAAATCAATGACATTTTAAAATTAACAGTGATCTTAAGCAAGTAATTGGGGAACAGAAAACTTTCTTAAGATAAATTAGTGGATATCATATTGGAGTCTTCTAGTGAGAGGACATTAATCTTCATCAAGTGATTCAAGGCATAGAACATTTTCAAGATAGTTAAGTAATATCATAACTGAATCTTCTACAGCAAGGAAATTTGACTTGTGTATCAACACTGACCCTAGGCCAGTGATTCAGGCTTCATACTTTTCAAGCTAGTTTGAGTAAAGATTATAACAATGTCTTCTTGATATTCTAAACTTAATACTTTCAAGACAGTCCGGTGAACATCATAATTGCATCTTTTACAGTAAAGCAATTCAAAGATGATTTGAGAGAGCACTTGATAGTATCACTTGTAAGACAAGGGGTATAAAAAGTAGGTGACAGTCATTCCCTTGTCTTGTGCCTACCTATATGATTATGTTTCGTCTCTTCTATGACTGATGGAGGATTATGCACCGGTACAGGTTGGGGAGGAGATGTGATCCGCTGTGGTGGTCCTCCCCGGTTTGGCAAGCTGTGGTATTGGTGATTTTGTACAGTTCCTCTTGGTATATTCCTGTTAGGTGGATGTGGATGTTGACTTCGTTTATTTGGAGGTATATATCTGTAATGAAGGCTTTGTCATATCAACAAACAGTTATCAACTTTGACCTATTATGGTACATGAAAATTATTGAATTCCAATATTAAAGGGGCATCATGGTGAATTTTTTCTCTCTCTTTTCCAAAATTCTGCATTAACAGAGTGGTACAGGTCATGGAAATCTGCAGTCAGAATTTGCTAAGAAAGACAGTAACAATACTTGATAAGTAAAATGGGAACTCCTATTCACTCAATAACAAATGGGATATTTCATTCTTGTCAAAAGCTCAGAAGAAAATGTTTGTGCATTGTGAACAATATGGTGTCCTGCATAAAGCAAATTCCAACGAAAACAGTCATTGCATTTGTTGTAAAGCAAGAGTTGCAGAATAGTGCCAGGATAATCGGAGGATAAGGATTAGCAGTCAGTGTGACTGACGGAAAGATTTCAAATAGTGAAGCAATTGCTGTAGGAATAAGGAAACATCAATTGCTTGAGTGAATTGAGTTGACAAGGGAGCATTGTAAAGGAGCCAATGAGGGAAATTGTGATTGTGAAATGACAATGTGTTAGAAGCGCAAAATGAATAAAGTATAAGCCATTATAAACACACACAAACAAATGTAGCTGCATTGTTTTGAACTGGTTATGCATATGAGGAGTTTCTCAAACAAATTGAGTGGTCAAACTGGGCATTCAAAATGGACTATGAGAATTGAGATAGCATCGACACATAATTGAGAGCGCAAACAATTTTTCTGTTCAACTTCAAAATATGTTTTTACCATGATGTCCCTTTAACTGTAAAGAGCAAAATTGGAAACATTCAAATATAGTTATTTCTTTAAAATATCAACAAAAGATGAACATTATTTTTTTTTAAAATAATTTCATTATTGTAACCGAGTTACTGTTATTGACAAGAAAAAAGTTATGACCAAACTAGGAATTATCGTATCTTATATTTTGGTAAATGGAGACTAAGTTTTTGGAAACATCCCAAAACATGCACAAAGATGGCTCCATGAAAATGAAAATTTAAACAGGTAATTTTTATGTAATGTAAAATATATCCACAATCCTTTATACGATTAATGGCTGAATATATCATCAACAGCCAAGTATAGACAGAAAATTTCCCGTTGGTGTAAAGCTTGCTTAAAGCATTGTATAAATCCAACGGAAAACACAAGCACTATTGGTAGCCACATTGGAGATAGAGAAATGAAAACACAGTAACTTCGCTGTGCCTGTATTCACTACACTTCCTTCAACAGAGGAACCATCTTCTTGTGGTTACTCACTTTCCTGACTGGGTAGTGTTATTATCTTGTGTCCGTTTCACAGAACTAAATTTATCCTCCTCATTCACTTCATCACCATTTTCTAATGCATTTCTAATCTTGTACTGATCAGTTTTTTCAATCTCTTGTGCTAATTTTGCTGCTTTTTCTTCTCGCGCTTTATACTCAATAGAATCTGTCTTGCTAAGTGGAGTCCTGAAAAATAGATTTACAAATCTTAAAACTGTGATTAAATCCAATCATTAAAATCAATAAGTTTAATGAAAAGCTACTGGATGGAATTATAACTCACTACACTGCTGTACCATCAAAATCTGTGAAACTTGCTCACATATGTGATTTACCTGCCGCAAAAATACTTCTGCCCACTATTTCATACATCAAATTTGATCTTCCGGAGGGCCAAGAAGTAGATCTGAATAGGAAGATTATTATGAAATTTGAAACATTATCAGGTATTGCCACTATCTAACAATATATGATTACTGTTAAGGTTATTTCTCTCCATTTGTAAAAAATACTTACGTATACATTTTTAGTGTCTCATCATATGTCGACTTGACATTAAACTGCTCAGCATTAGTTCTAAACATTTCATTTGCATCCCAGCCATTCTGTTAAAGATAAAGAGAGTAAATACCTTAAACAATGCATATATACAGCTAATGGAATATTAATGTTTGTAGGCATACAGAACTGTTAGAAATGTCTTCAGTTCTGTACAATCAGAAAGTTTTGAGACTGTGATATCAGTTAGACGGCTTCAAACTGTTTATGTTTGACAGGTGGCATGATCTGTCTCTGAATGTATTTATTGCACAAAGTGACCTGCTAACCTACATACTCAGGTGTCAATTGTAATATTCATGCTCTGCAGTCCATGTGTAATTATGCCTTACTCCAGTTCTCTAACCTACAGACCCTATAGATATTCCCAATCAAAGATAAATTACCCCAGTGTCTACATCCTATATACCTCATAGATATTCCCAATCAAAGATAACTTACCGGGTCTACATCCTATAGACCCCATAGATATTCTCAATCAAAGATAAATTACCCCAGTGTCTACATCCTATAGACCCCATAGATATTCCCAATCAAAGATAACTTACCCCAGGGTCTACATCCTATAGACCCCATAGATATTCCAATTCAAAGAAAACTTACCCCAGGGTCTACATCCTATAGACCCCATAGATATTCCAATTCAAAGAAAACTTACCCCAGGGTCTACATCCTATAGACCCCATAGATATTCAAATTCAAAGAAAACTTACCCCAGGGTCTACATCCTATAGACCCCATAGATATTCCCAATCAAAGATAACTTAACCCAGTGTCTACATCCTATAGACCCCATAGATATTCCAATTCAAAGATAACTTACCCCAGGGTCTACATCCTATAGACCCCATAGATATTCCAATTCAAAGAAAACTTACCCCAGGGTCTACATCCTATAGACCCCATAGATATTCCCAATCAAAGATAACTTAACCCAGGGTCTACATCCTATAGACCCCATAGATATTCCCAATCAAAGATAACTTACCCCAGGGTCTACATCCTATAGACCCCATAGATATTCCCAATCAAAGAAAACTTACCCCAGGGTCTACATCCTATAGACCCCATAGATATTCCAATTCAAAGATAACTTACCCCCAGGGTCTACATCCTATAGACCTCATAGATATTCCCGATCAAAGATAACTTACCCCAGGGTCTACATCCTATAGACCTCATAGATATTCCCAATCAAAGATAACTTACCCCAGGGTCTACATCCTATAGACCCCATAGATATTCCCAATCAAAGATAACTTACCCCAGGGTCTACATCCTATAGACCCCATAGATATTCCCAATCAAAGATAACTTAACCCAGTGTCTACATCCTATAGACCCCATAGATATTCCCAATCAAAGAAAACTTACCCCAGGGTCTACATCCTATAGACCCCATAGATATTCCCAATCCTATAGACCTTTGGTTATTCCCAATCAAATATAACTCACTCCAGGGACTTCCTCCTATAGACCCCTCCCTCCCATTGATATTCAAGCATCACTTACTGCTGGGTCTCCACCTTCAAGACCCCCTAGTTCATCACCGTCCTCTCCCACCCAGGGCTGTAATTCACGTAGAGGACTTTCTCCTGTCTGCCCATTGTGTTTACTGATGGCACTGTCTGTAAATGAATCTGTGAAACAGATGAAAGTAAGCATCCTTAAGTATACATAGTAGCAGGCTTAGTATAAAATATATCACATTACTTTCAGTGCCTCTGGAAAAATAGCAGCAATTTTATTCACTGGGCTTTTTGGATTGGTCATTTTTACATGAAAAAACTTAAAATTTCATTAATCTTCCAAGTGAACTTTTTTATTACAGACAATTAACAATGTCAAAATTTCAACTTATTTGATGTTCAGAATCTAAACTGTACTATATATATTTTACTGACAAATATAATTTCTCTGAATAAATCAAGTTTGAAGCTAATGACTTATTAGTTTAAGCAGTTTTTAAACCCATTTTCTTCATCCTGGAAGTCATCCGATTAAGGCAAGTGCAGAAGCCATTAGGATTAGACAGAAAGGAAGAAATGTAACAGGACACAAAGTTTGGATGTCAACTTGTGTTGTACCTTTCACGGAATATTCCATATCTACATCCATAGCACAAATAGTTAAAATGTCTCCAACACTAAAAAGTATTTTCTCTATAAGACGTTCCCGGGACGGCACATTAGGCACTGCATTCTGATTGTTATTTCCCAGGTCTTCACACTTGTGGGCCATCTCCAGAACAACATCCATCTGAAAACAAACATTACATCAGTGGTGAGAATCATTCCGAACCTTTCTAGTCTTGTTGGCTTTACTCCAATCTTAGAAACTCGTATCATCTGAACTTATCAGGTTAGCACTGCAACTCTGCTTGGTGCATATATACCAAATATTGTTTACAAACTACACATTTTATAAGCTGCAATATTTTTTTTTATGATGATAGCAGATAAGCTGGTTTGGGTCAGAAATAGGTAAGCTGCATCTGCCAGTAATGAAAGAATATGCCTGTCAAGGCTAACAATGAGAACAATATACACACAAACAATGGACAGCATTGTGGCAAATCACTCACTCCTGACAGTCCACCAAGCTTCTTGAAATATTAGGGCCTAGATGCCGAGACATTATCACTGAATATACCTCTAAGGATTACATAATTCACATTATCCAGTGTCAAACAGATTACTACAGTACAATTTGACATATTTTTCTCTCTCCAGAAATGTACACATAAAATTTTGACTAGATTGTTTGCCATTTTTATTTCTTTCATATTATAATAAATGTGTGCTGCTTAACAAAAAACTGTTTTGAGCATGGAATTTTGCATCTATTAGATAAGATCTATGTTTATTTATAGCCTTTAAATGATGTTTGGTCTTGGTGTCCCTTTAAATAATAACCATTTCTGAAAGATGAAGTAACAAACATCACAAAAGTAATCTAAAATTCTTTCATGAAATTACAGCACACAAGCATTGACTATCGATGAAAAAGCAGCCTGTGATCATGAGCTCTAGCAGAAAAAAAATCAAAAGAACTAATCAAAAATCAATTATCTTATCCCAAACGTAAAGCACATCTTATTCAACATCATAAATATTCATACAACACAAGTTGGTGAAATATACCATAAAACAGACTGGAAATTTTATGGGGCTTTTCCACGAACTTTGAATCATTTGTCAGCCGGATAGTGTTGTTTCAACTACACACTTGTGAAATACCAGACCTAACCACCAGTCCATTATGAAACACAAATCACCTACAAGGTAAAGACACCAGTCATATGAAGCTACAGATAGGTCTGGATCCCTTTGCTATGTGGAGCATGCTAATTAGTTAGTTCCATATGCTGTGGGAGAGCCAAGTATACATTAGCTGTACATAATAGTTATAAACATAAGACATACCACCGCCCCATCAAATGATAAACACTTAATGAAATCATTATGTACCAATACCTGGAATATTGTAGAGTATCTCAAATTTTATCTATAATCATATGTAGTAAAGTGTCTTTTCCCCTCCTCCCTTTTTTAATATCTATAATAAGAATTCATACAAAGGAAAAAAAGTAATACTCACCTTTGGACTAAAAGTTTTCAGAATGCCTTCATAAATGCCTCCATTTTTCACTTGTAACCGTACAACACAACCCTGTGGTAGAGATAAACTTGTTGCAATCATTGCTGTTCCAAGACTGGTGAACATTAATGTCAATGGCTCGGGAAACTTATAAATACATCAGACATAACAAAAAGCACTGATCCCTCCTTTCTGGGCGTAAATATGTTTCACCGATAGCCATACAAAAATTAATACTGTCCTCCAGTTCATAATAAAGATGGTTTGAAAACTGAAGTGATAGCATCAGACTGGCAATATTACGTGCATCACAATTAGTCCTGGACAGGAGCCAGCCTCAAAATGGCCTGCCAATTAACTTTCTACCATTGCGGAGTGACTGGGATTTTGTATATGTTGTGACTAGGTGAGATTTATCTGTGCTAAAGAGATGTGGTGTCTATATAGGCCTCTGTAGATAAATCTATTTAAACAGTTTGTATACCTGTCTGTCCCACAACCCAGACAGAGAAAGGAGCTTCCCCTGTACAGCCAGTGCATTAACTATATAAATCTCACAACTGTTGCTGTTTGTGGTTCACAGGATACAACTTTAAAGCTAGCATCAGTACCTAGAACAATAGCTATCAATCAAACCTATAACTGCTTATACGACATCTGTGCTCATCACCACCCAAGGCCTTTCAAGTTTTAGTACTTGATACACTGGCTTCATCTTTATCCCAGCAAGCTCTTGGTGGCTTCTTAGAACTGTCCATAGTTACAGACTTCAACGACATCTCTTTCCTACACTTGCTTTATTATCTTTTTTTTTTCCAATTTTTTTTTTTCAGAGCTTGAAGAGCAGTGCTCCAGAAATAATTTCATCTTTGTTTTAAATCCATCAAGTAGAATTTTAATTAATTTTAATTTTACATGATTTTTACTGAATAACATTTTGCTTTGTTAGATAAGACATCAAATGTGTACCCCCAGTAATATCGATAAAACCTTTTTGCACACAAAACAGTTCTTGTAAATTGGGTGTGGAACATGTATGCAAGTACACTCCACCTCCTTGGAACACTATAGAAGATGGGAGTAATTAAGAAAACAGATCAGAAAAATCTTTGAAAAGTCTATAAAACACATAAATACTGCTCCCTCATTTTCTATTATCCAGACATACTTGTCCAACACTTGTCTACATCCGGAGGTAAAGCCATCAAATGATATCATAAATCAATAAACTTAAGTTTTCAACAAGTAGCAACCAGTGCTGATAAAACTATCTGATGAGATCTGAATGATCATAAAGACTATCTACCACATAGTTTTAGTTCATTCATAGATCACAATAAAAGGGTTAGTATGTAGGTAAAAATACATTTCACGGATATTTCCGTATCCACGGCAGCCCCAAGGAGAAAAAATGTTCAATTGTGGGATGTTGTGTCTCCACCCTCCTGTGTTGATTTCAGGGATAAGAAAACACTACATACTCAATGTTTTGTTTCTCTAAGCGTTGAAGAAATTTAACACAAAGTTATTTCTAGGACTGCATGTAAGAACTGACTAAGCACCACAAACAAGCATATGTGATGTATGTCACTAATGATATTAACCTAAATGTGTAAAAAGTGGTTCAATATCTTTAGGGTCATTAATGCATTTTAAATGTGATCAAGTCCAAAGGCTGAGTTTTCCCCTTTTTATCAAAACCTAGCTCGTCATGACTAGACCTTCAGTGACCTCAGGATTTCATATTACATTTATCAACATATTAACCCCAGTCACATAAAATGTGGTCAAGTCATGTATTTTAGTGAAGCTTACAGCCCTCAATCTCATCTTCCATCTAGTGCTTACATATAACGAAATTCCTTCCTATTCCAATATTGGAAGCCTATTAAAAACAGTATTACTAGGTATACTGAGATGACAATGATGAGAAAAATTAATCATTATCCTTTTTGTGATTTCAACATTTGCACTTTTTTCAAAATGAACTGGAAATTACTACAGAGAATTCTTAATAGACAAACAGTTGCCAGAACATGTTATATCATACTTCTCTAAATAGTTTCGATATTGACATTGCCTTCCAAATGTATAAGTCCAGAGGAATTTTATGACTAAGGTTTCCTAAGGTACCTAATGTTTACTTATCTGACACCTGAAGTATTGAAAGTATACCTGGCCCTAAAATAATCAATTTAAACAACAATGACTTTTCAATATTTTCTTGTGAGTGAGTTAGAGGGATGTTGGTCAACTGTATAGTCCTCTTCCACCCAGAGGTACATCTTCCCTAACACCATTAATATCTCAAGTCAAAGAGGAGCATAATTTCCATGCTAATGTGACAGCACATAATTGTTGTGAATGTCACTGTTCAATCCTCTCACTTTGATCCAAAAATAAGACATATCACAATTAAGGCATATCACACACTGGTATCAATATACCTGCAGAGGGTCACAGATAATGTTATCTGAAGTATAAGCCTTGATGATAGTATCTGATCCTTAATTACAGACCAAGATCTCAATACCCTAAAAAACTGATCTTGTCAAACTCCTGAAGACTCCAATATGATGCTATGACCCCAATACAAAGAAATAACACTTTTCTATTCATTACCAAAGAGTCAACTGCAGGAGTTTTACTGTAGTTGCCTATGAGGTCTATGGGTACACCTGTTGTACAACAGATGTGGCATACACACCAGTATTACACTGCCGTCTATATACTTTCTCCCATAAACTCCAAGATCAATGCCAGCTCTACAAACAGCCATGCTGCATACATGTCTTCATCAACATAACACAATATGGATTTTTCCTATCACAATATTATACTGCTCGTGGTGGTGGTGGTACTGACTGGTAAAACAATACCGGTTTTTGTTCAATGAATAAAGACAGAGAACAATTTAGAGTTAAAGTCTGTGTTTACTTGATCTATTTACACCTAAGACAATGGACCGCCTCAGTCTAAGCAATCCCTCACTACTTTAAACATTTGTTATGGCCTTCCAAAGAGACATCCTTTGCTGTAACATATGGTGAAGAATGATTTTTTATATTTCTCTACACTTCAAATAAATCAAACAGTAATCAAAGCAGATCATGTGTTTCAGCTACAAAGAACCATTTCTTAAAGGGAAGGACTAAAGGGCTGACTTTGTAACAAGTATCTTCACAGAGACAGTCACATTCAATAACAACTGCTAGTAGTATTTCTATTTTTTTCTCTTAAACACATGTATTTCCACAAGAATAAGATATAAATATCTTGTATAAAATAACATCTACTAAAGCAGATTTAAACATCCATTTTGCATGTGGTGATTTTAATGATTCCAGCTTGTTACAAAATAATGTCTATTTTTAGATGAAAGGGTCTGCATATAATCTTTGGATCAATAGAGATGATTCTGTAGGGGTTGCCATTACATATAGTCACTACCATGTTTTACTGGCTGCAGATCCTAAGCAACAGTACAACTTGCATGCCCCACATTTTATGATTAGAAATTGTCATTACATAACAGAGAAAGTAACAGGTGTTGTGGGAGTGTAAAGTGACAGATTGCTCTCAGAATACTTACAATTAATGATGTCGTTAGATGGGTAAACCTAGGGTTGGCAAAAACGCCTTCATTCGTCTGAAAAAAAAACAAATACATCATCAGAATGATTATGAACACCTTCCTGTGTTGTTTGAAGTACTGGTTTCTCCAGTCGTTGGCATGCTAATCATGTTGGAGGCATCACAATATATTTGTTGTAGAAAAACCTCTCAACAGTAAGTTCTTCATGTCAGAGAGTATAGGTACACTTATTACAGTACACAGTACCTACAATGTACTGTTATAGATTCATTCATTACAATATTCAATCAAAATTAATCTTTACAATCACAAAATTTTCAAAATTATTTTCAAGCTATTTTGGCAAAATGCAACTTAATATTTCATAGAAATTTTGTTCAAAATATAATATTGATATTGGATGCCCTACATTATGTGTAAATAGTTAAGAGAATAATTCGTTCTTGATAAATCTGACATGAAGAACACAAACATAATTATATATAGCAACGCATACAAGATCATTACCTCATCAGCCTGTTTCCCTCTGGTCATTGTTCGTGATATTGGCTCCCTGACCTATGATAACAAAATCAACTTTTTGGCTACTTTCATCTGCTTTCCGTATATACAACATTATATAATAGTCTTGTCACAACTCAATGCATTTAAAATGTATTCAAGCAGATCTCCTTGGCCTGGGCTGATACAGACTTGACAGTTTGCCAGGAATGGCTGTCAAGCCAGCATGCAGAGATCTCAAGCAGCCCTATAGTTAGTTGCCAGTGGGCCACGTTGGCTTAACACCGCACTTACAATATCTTATTCCTGTTTTGTTTACTATTTCAAATGTATCAATTGCACTTACACTCTAATAATAGAGTGTTTAAAAAATATACCGATATATTTGATTATTTGGTTTCAGCATTTTGACAACAAATCTGTTTTTCTGATAGAGTGTGTTAAGCTAATGTGGACTGGCATGCTTACTGATCATAAAACGCAGAATACAAAGTAAAATGAATAACATTCACCAAAATTACAGCAAACTGATATAAACTGAAGCAGATCCGGTTACTGCTAGAGCATGCACATCAGTCTAAATCAAATAGGTATACAACAATAGGGGCACAAATAATACATTCCAAAAATAGTATAAAACATGTGGTCTTTTAGTCAACATCAGGAGTTAGAGTAAATCAGTGGTGCACATGTCTGTAGACTGTCAGAGGATAATAAGATTGGAGAATAGTGCTGATGTCAGCTAACTCAATACTAGTATATTGAGTACAGAATTAAACATCAATAGGTATTATTTACAAAAATATGAATACTGAATGTGATCTTCAGTAATTCTGATGATTATTATTCCTGTGTAATAGCCCATAACTTCATACCTATAACGTAACAGTACCTAATCTCTTTACAATAACTCATCACTTCACAATACTGCCTGTTTACCTTCCTGACAGACCAGTGTATCTATTGACAATCACATTATGTAGGTGTCTACGCGATATGGCCACTTTGTTCCATATCTTGTTTCATGTTATGAAGTATAACACAATCTTCGTTATCATAAACACACATCATCATGTTTCTGTTGTAATGAAGTAAACAAATTCCTTCTGGCTCAAAGACAAGCCTGGGCTTATTGCAGGACAATATAAAGGAAGGTTTATAAACAGAATTGGACTTATTGTCATAAAAAATGGTGATTCTATTTCTAAATTAAGTGATTATGATCAGAAGACCCCAAACTTTATGTCAGGTTAACTCAAAACTAACATAATTCTTTTATTACATGTAATTAAGATTATTTCTTATTAACTCCAGGAAGCTGTTCCCCTTTAACACCATCTTAAAAAGAAGCTAAGTAGTAACTTAACCAGATTTCATTACTAAATACAGAAATTACCTAGATTATCTTGAAAGTCTTAATTTATCAAAATTAAAATGAAACTCTCATATTTACAAGTGATAAGATTGAAGAATTCATAAATTTACTAAATCTGAAAAATCAACTTGAAAAAGCACACGTAATAAAACTTAACTTCCTACATGTTGTTCACATTTAAAGTGAAGTGAGAACCACCTTCTTAATTATATCAATTTGCTACCAATTACATCTACAGCAAATTACATCAAATCCTTATGAAGCAGGGAATTTGTCCTTTGATGAACTTTACTACATTAAATGATCATTTTAAGCTACTTTAAAAGAGAATATTTTTGTTTTTTGTAATTTCAGAAAGTTTTAATCAATGAAATTCAAATAAATGAAGAAAACATTTGATGAGATGATGACAAAGATGTCTGTCATTATTAAAGTGATCTCTTAATTATATCGTCTGAAAACCTATGTGTGTAGTGATTCATGACCAAATAGATGTGTCTGGAGTAATACAGTGTAAAAACAGCTTTTGCGATTACATCTGGAAAGCGTGTAAGACACAACATCATTGTCTGACAATTTTTCAACAGTAGTGACCTAGGAACTTTGAAACAGAAACTCATCATAGGTATTGACAGTGTTAACTTTGTAAAGGATTGATAATAATCCCTAAAAAATTCAGTTGCTAGAGTAATGACATTCATTAAGGACAGAATAGAAAATGTTAATTTTATATGCCCCAAATTACATGGGGAGACATAAATTTACAAAACGACAAATACATGTTATTATATAACATAATATTCTTTCCCCCACCTAATATACCTGTCTCACAAAACACTTCACACAGTTAAAACAGCACACCTACCAGGAAATTAACTACACCTTATTCAGTAAACAGTCATAATCCAAATAATGCTATTTATCATAGTGAATTCACTCATTGCAATCTAAGAAACATTAAAATTCAGAGTTTTTCCAAGTTTATATGGAGTGGTGGACAATTTTTTACTTACAAGATTGTTTGTTACATAAATCTAGGTAGATTGTACAAAGCTTGTAAAACCTTACAAGAATTCTTGAACTAGAAACCTCAAGCTACAGGTCCAAGGAGCACCAACAGACATAACACTTTTCATACTAGACACATGTTTCCTTACACTAACAGAGGGACATCTTTCTGGACAAAGATTCAATGATAGTAGATCTTTCATTACATTGACAGAAGAAAAAGTTACTGGACAAATCATAATGACACCACAACAGTTTGATCACAAAGAGAAACAACTTAAACACCAACAGAGGAACATGTTACTGAACACAGATCACATTGACACCAGGAGATCTTTCATCACACCAACAGAGGAACATGTTACTGGACACAGATCACATTGACACCAGGAGATCTTACATCACACCAACAGAGGAACATGTTACTGGACACAGATCACATTGACACACACCAACAGAGACACAGATTTGACATCACACACCAACACAGATCACATTGAGGAACATGTTACTGGACACAGATCACATTGACACCAGGAGATCTTTCATCACACCAAAAGAGGAACATGTTACTGAACACAGATCACATTGACACCAGGAGATCTTTCATCACACCAACAGAGGAACATGTTACTGGACACAGATCACATTGACACCAGGAGATCTTACATCACACCAACAGAGGAACATGTTACTGGACACAGATCACATTGACACCAGGAGATCTTTCATCACACCAACAGAGGAACATGTTACTGGACACAGATCACATTGACACCAGGAGATCTTTCATCACACCAACAGAGGAACATGTTACTGGACACAGATCACATTGACACCAGGAGATCTTTCATCACACCAACAGAGGAACATGTTACTGGACACAGATCACATTGACACCAGGAGATCTTTCATCACACCAAAAGAGGAACATCTTACTGGACACACATTTCAAAGACAATAGGAGGACATTCATCATATCGACAAAGGACACATCATATGGACACAAAGAGAGCTTCCATTACCGACAGAGAAACATCTTCCTGGGCACAATTCTCAATGATATCTGTCCTCATTTTCATCACAACTACATCTTCCTGGACATAGATTTTAATGACACAAAGAGGAATTTCATCATTGGTATAGTATATTATATATTTATTTACTCAGTAGTTTGGTGTCATGTGTAGGTAGACATTATTCATCAATTGAAATTACAGGATGAGGAAGTAGGGTCCTTGCACTTCATTGTGATTTCAATCCCAACAATCAACTTATCACCAACATGTGATTTTCAGAACAAGGCACCGATATATTTCCAATGTAATTATCATCGATCAGTCCTAATACAAGGTTCTGTCAGATTAGGATTCTCTATTGTCAGAGGTAATTAAATATTTAGATTTTTAAAATCAGATACTACCACTGATTGGCTATAGTTATTTCATGAATTACTTAATTTAAATGCAAGAAATTCCATTGAATAACAACAGCAATAACACAATTTGGTACAGTGAGAAGGATCAATTTGCAAAACCAGCAAATGCATACACAATTCATTTTCAAGATTTTGATCAGAAACATTTTCTTTGCTTTTTGAAACTATTTATCTTGTTTTTAAATATCAAAATTAAGTTATTGCAGATATAGAAAAGGACTTCCCTTTAAAAATTCCACTGTGCATTGAGTATATGACAACACAACATGGAATTCCCAGACGTCCAGATTTGACTCAATGGCATGTCAGAAGGGACTTGTGGAATATCATGGCAACTTGACAATCATTGATTTTTGTTCATATATAATCAACAATTCTGTCCTTCTGCACATGGTCGCAGTGGCCCCATGTCTGACACACCAGCACAATCACATGGTACAAGTCTCTGCACTGTAGTGTTTTCTCTTGATCAATATTGGCTAAACATGTAGGTTACAGAAGGACTAGGGCTCTAATAATCCTCTGCATAGAAACTGTTTTATAGATTTTTAAAGGTGTAATAATCCTTGGTATAAAACCCTGTTTGATAGATTTTCAACCTATAAATTTTCATAACTTTCAACAAGATTGTAGAATTGGAAGATAATGAAAACATATTTTAGAACTAAAACCTGTCTTTGATGGGTGTTGTCTTATTTTGAATACTGGTCATCTAATATTCCCATGGATATAATAATAGTTGCTGTGTTATGAGAACTTACAGGTACCTAGATGTAAAACCCTAGTTTGTCATGAATGCTTAACATGTTGTGTTGAAATTTTAGTAGCTCAAAACCCCTGGGCTGTTATGACTTTGTTAGGTTGTATGGAATTATTCAGGTAGCCATAAAACTCAATCATGAATATTGTCTGGTTATGTTGAATTATTGGTAGCTAAATAATGCTATGTAGCCCAATAACACCTGGTCATAATGAATGTTGCCTAGTCAGTGAATTTCTAGTACCCCAATAACACCTGGTCATAATGAATGTTGCCTAGTCAGTGAATTTCTAGTACCCCAATAACACCTGGTTGTAATTAATGTTGTCTGGTCAGTGAATTACTGGTACCCCAATAACACCTGGTTGTAATTAATGTTGTCTGGTCAGTGAATTACTGGTACCCCAATAACACCTGGTTGTAATTAATGTTGTCTGGTCAGTGAATTACTGGTACCCCAATAACACCTGGTTGTAATTAATGTTGTCTGGTCAGTAAATTACTGGTACCCCGATAACACCTGGTCGTAATGAATGTTGTCTGGTCAGTGAATTACTGGTACCCAAATAACACCTGGTCGTAATGAATGTTGTCTGGTCAGTGAATTACTGGTACCCCAATAACACCTGGTCGTAATGAATGTTGCCTGGTCAGTGAATTACTGGTACCCCAATAACACCTGGTCGTAATGAATGTTGTCTGGTCAGTGAATTACTGGAACCCCAATAACACCTGGTCGTAATGAATGTTGTCTGGTCAGTGAATTACTGGTACCCATATAACACCTGGTCGTAATTAATGTTGTCTGGTCAGTGAATTACTGGTACCCCAATAACACCTGGTCGTAATGAATGTTGTCTGGTCAGTGAATTTCTATTACCCCAATGACACTTCGTCGTAATGAATGTTACCTAGTCAGTTAATTACTGGTACCCAAGCAACATCTGGCTGTATTGAACGTTGTCATGTCAGGTAATTACAGTTAGCCCAAAATTACCAGGCTGTGATGAATATGTGAAGGTCAATATGAAGGTCCTAAACCCCAAGTTAGTAATCAATAATTTTGCCAACTTCTTAAGTCGTGGTGAAGTGCTGGTAGTCTAAATATATCTGGCTGTAAAAAAAATGTCAGGATAAGATGACGAAATCACATTGGATTTTTTTTGCATTGTCATTAAAAAGGATACAATGAAATGATAAACCTTAGTTTCAATAGGAACTGTATGGGCAGTTACATTGACGGTAACTATGAAATCCCACCATCCCCAAGTTATACTATTATTCATACACAGGAAAAATGAACTCTTTCTCCATTCTACCAAGGCTGCAAGCTATTTTGATATTTTTCACAATAAAAAACTAAAGTCACTGCAATATTTGTGTCAATATAATTTTAATCAATTTTGTCATTGTGTAGTATTTCTGATTCTATAACCATGACCACTGTATTATATCTGAGCATATAACCACAGTCATTGTAAAATATCTGATGACAGAAACAGGGCCATCACAATATTTCTAACAACATAATTAGGGCCAATGTAATCTTTCTGACAAGATTATATAACCTTGGCCATTGTAATGTTTCTAACAATATAACCAGGGCCATTGTAATGTTTCTAATAACATAACAAGGGCCATTCATTTAGTGACTAACCATCATCACTTAATTACCCACAGCCCTGTGTAATTAGATTTTGTTAAAACCTCTAGTCAAGCACTCAGCTGCTATGTTGAAAATAAGAATTCGGAGGCCTCATGTGCTTATTTACAAAAAAACATTTCAGGCAGTCCTGTTTTTGAACCTTAGTGCACTAACATCCTGCACTACATACCTAGAATCACCAGGAGGAATTGTGTAGGAGTGAATGAAAACCTTTTTGAGAGAGCAAGACACATGCAGTCAGTAACCTATGCATAAACCTACATTGCCTGTTAGGTAGGTATACATCATATAAATTACCTTCAAAAATAAACTCATATTTACAAGTATCTTTTATGAAATATGGTTTACTTTCCTAGAACCTTTTTCAGTTTCATAACGAGATTATTTTGCAATCTAAGTATATAAATTAAAATATTCATATTCCCCAAAGTCTCCAAATTCAATGTAAAAAACCAGCCCAAGTTCATAATTTTCATCAACTTCTATCATATTCTTCCTACTGTTTTCCATTCAAATATTAAATCAACAATTTAAAAACATTTTTGCATATACTAAATTTAGGTAGTATTGTGATATATATCTTAACTCTGCAAAGTGTTGGAGTAATTCTAACTTCAGAAATGAAGGTACAGGAATGTTGTCATACAGGTATCAAATTGATAACTCCTGTTCTAATAGTAACTGGATCAAACTGTGTGTGTCTTGGACATGGCAATACAAACCTACACAGGGTATCCTCATAACTAATCATTTCATAAAATTTAAATCTTACAACATCTATGCTAAATATAAACTGTAACTTTATGTGGTTCAAGGTTTTCTGAAAACAGTGAACATTTGAAGTATTTTTTCCTTCTTAATATTTAAATGTTAAGTTTCAACAGAAATGAATTTGATAGGAGAAAGACTAGACAGGAACAGACATTCATCCATGAATGCCTTCCCTATCCAACAAAAAAAGGCATGCTTGGAAAAAAAAGATAAAAGAATAGAAATATTAATTGAACTTAAGTGCAATGTACCATAACAAATAAAAAAATTCACATTCTAATAATAATAAAACAGACTTACAATAATGTTCTTTTCATATCCTCTTTGTCTTCCACCCCTAAAAAAAGCAAACAATGACATAATTAGAATAGCATAGCAGAATCTTGAAATATAATGCCCTTTATTTGTAAACACACCATTCACCTAAAGTCGAAAAAAGACAAAAATAGGAGTTTGATAGCAGAATAAACCTAATTACCAGGTACATAAAGCACAGTATTACCTAAACCTGAGGGTACAAAGTCCCCTACAATGGTGGAATTCAAGATTTGTGACCCCGATTTTCAAGCATTCTCCTATATAAATACATTATAAGGGGTACACTGCAACCCTGATTTCAAAATGCAAGAGGGAACATTGCTTAGGTTCAGTTCCGTTCTATACAGTCTAGACCATCCAAGGACCAGTTCTTACATTGTGAATGTGTTTATATCTTTATGCCCAGCATTGCCATATTGTTTAAGAGTTGGGATCTAAACTGTTTCAAAAATATTACCGTGAAATTAAGTCCCTGAGGATAGGGCCAGACCCAAGGCCCAAGTCTAACATCATGATTGTGTTTATCTCTTGATGCTTGTCATGTCATCATTATTTATGGTTATGGGGTTGGGATCTCGGCAGCTTCAAAGATATAACAAGGAAACTAAGTTGCTGAGGATAAGGCCAGATGCAAGGGCAAATTCTAACAGCATGGTTGTGTTTATCTCTTTATGCGCAGCAATGCTTATTCGTGGTTATGGGATAGGGACACATTTACCCTATTGAGGCCCTCATTTCCTGTCCTAGGGGGCAAAGATCCACCATTAGTATAAAATTGATTTCCCTTCACCCAAAGATGCTTCTGACCAAAGTTAGACACATCTAATTATTCCTATAGGAATAGGACTTTAAAGAATTTGCTCCATTTCCCCTATTGGGCCCTGCCCTTCAGGCCCTGTGACACATCTTTCAGGGTTTTCCATAATTTTGTTAGTAGTAGGCTGTGTAGTGAAAGTAGGAGACTGGCCTGCCATGTATGTGTAGTCGTGTACGGAACATTATTACGGAACTGGATCGGTGTAGGCGACCAAATGTTCAAAGTAGGCGGTCAAATTGGCCGGCAACCGGCTCTTATGGAAAACCCAGTCATTTATACAAAAAATGTTCCAATTCCCCTCAGGATGCTTCTGATCAATTATATGGGCAAAATCCTCTCAGTCGTTCAGGAATAGTAGTGCTGACAGACGATGGACACTGCGATGTCCTTTTACCTCACTTGACCCTTCAGGCCAGGTAAGCTAAAAAGGACAAGGTTCAATCTATTTGCTCAAAGACAACTAGATTGAATTTTAAGTAAAAATAATTTTGGTTTGTTTCCATTAACACATACAAGTAAGGCCCATAAAATTATGAGATCCAAACTTGCCTTCATATTTTTAACAACATACTTAGGCCAAATAATGCAGACTTTGCTGTTCCCTGCATCAATATGCTGAAAGCATCCCAACTGTATGTTTGACCTCTGGCATCGCCCACACTCTACGCATTGCACCAAGTATATCTTTCAACTTTGAATGTGGTATATTTCAAGGTCCAGTTGAAATTCAACAGGACATTGATCGGCTCATTCTGATGCAAGTAATAAAGTTTGGCATTCCCTTTTCACAAATAGATACTATGACTGTACCACTTATATTCTAAAATTCTGTTCAGTTTATGTTTTTCCTATCATATGTGAAGTCACAGAAATATTAATATAAAATCTCTTCAGTTCCGGGTAATAAAAGTTCTTATTACACAACTAGTAGAAGATTTGAGTGTGACATTTTGATGACTACACAGTCACCTTCATCAGACAAATGTCCAGTGTGTAGAATACCATTACTAGCACTGACATACAAGATGGTAGTGAATCTACCTAATTTTTTGCCTGTACTACTATCTTATTCAAACTAAGGTAAAAAATAGTATGACTAGTTGGATAACAAATTAAAGGGAAATTTTTTTTACACAAGTTGGTAACAACTTCTTTTAGTCAATTCAACTTCGCTATTTTTACACACCTGTCATAGACCAGTATGAGAATGAGGCCCCCTCATCTCTGTTTACCACGACCCCATCGCAATGTATCAAGATTTTCTTCTTAATCAGTTGCCTGAAAAGTTTGTTTTTCCTTTAATTTTGGAATCATCCCAGTCATCAATATGATTTTGTTGTGTGGAATGGTCTGTAAGAGGCAATTTGATCTTGGAATGAGAGTGCTTTAGTTCTGATCTGGTGATTTTTTTGTCTTCTTGGGAGTTTGCTTGTCTTCTTTCTGCAAGTGCTCCAGGATCAAGTTCTTGCTGTAGGTGACATCAAAGGATATTAAGTGCTTTTTCTCTATGGGTTTGTTGGTCAAAAGAGACACTATATCATGTGAATTGAACTCCTGATCGTTCTGGACAAGCACTATAGACATACTTTGCCACTTACAGACCCATTCCATGCAGCAAACTCATATTATAGACTCAGAAAATGACATTGAAAATAACCTTTTCAGGCAGCTGGTCAAGGAGGCTATCAGGATATGATACAGTAGGCCAATACTTAACAGACGAGAGAGGGGCGGGGGCCACAGATTTTCATACATCTATAACTAAGTGTTGAACAAAGTATAGTCGAATCAACTACAATACATTGTTACCATCTTGTATATTTTTTCTCTATCTGTTTTCCATCTCATCACACTTAGTGTATATAGAATTATAGTAAAGCTGAAAAAGTTGGCAGATTATTTACCATACTTCATACATCAGTGCTAGTATGCTTCACACTGGATATTTGTCAGATGACGGTGAATGTGTAGTCATTAAAACATCACATTCAAATCTTTTACAGGTTTTATTAGAACTTTTATTTTATTGACATTATCAACCTTAAGAAAATGGTTTTTTAATAGATTTACCAAATAAAAATATTAGTTGGATGGAATCTGAGTTGTAAATCAGAAGTGTAAATATATATGCATTACAAAGATGGTGTAGTTATTCATATTTGTTATGTCAAACTGATAGAAAAATACACCTGCACAATGAATTTCAACTAGTTCCAACCACAATCAGAAAAGACTGCACCAAAACCACAATAATATAATGTATGTAGTATTAGAAGAAGTTATTAAGGAAAAAATGAAAAATAGCAAAATGACAGTTTCATTGATTCATTCAAACATGAGACTTTTTTTGTCTGCATTGCATCATCTTTTCTCTTCTCCCTAATCAATATCAACTTTCCTCAAAGTCAAAAAGGCTATGGGTTCCATTCTCAGGCTTGGAAAAATCAAAAGTCTAAAAATTTTGTTATTGCTTCTTGTTTGGCATGCAGCTTTTAAGCTGAGTCAATGGTATCAAAGAGACTCATGGTCATGCTGACAGCTAATAGATACTGGAACATTGAATACATAAAAATGTTCAAATTCCTGACCAGGCATGAAGAGGTATTGGTCTTTTGTGCAAATCTCACGAGTTCCCTCTTAGTACAGTACTTTCAAATTACAAATATAAATGGTATCTGTGATCCTCCATGGTGAAGAGGTGGACAAGTTTCTATATTTCAGAGGTCTTCGATTGAAGTCCAAGTTGCATTTTCCTGTTGTTCACAAAGGTGGCTTGCGACAACTGGTACCAATATAGCTGGATGGAAGATCCTGGACGATGGGAACTTGATCCATCCCTTTAATTGTAGAAGTATTTTGTGAGATGTTTGGTCTAGGGCTGTCACAAGTACCCGTATACAGGTCAGGTTTGAGAAATAACCAAGTCCAAAAATGTGTACCTGGATACCCTTTAAAATAGGAAACAGTCTGTCTTCAATCTGTGTTTACATTTCTGATTATTAAAGTAATACAATATCTCACTCATTTGTTCTGTTTTCATTCACAGAGGATGACACATTATCTGTTTGTTACATTTCTACATTCAACATAGTTGTACTTTCTTACAACTGCATTTCGTTTTTGGAACAGTCAAATGTGTGTATACACGGCAGACTTGTGTACTGTACTTTATCCCGTTACCATGGATTACAAGCGAGGATTCCTGAATTTCTTATTTGAATTAAACAACTTTCCTTTCCATTTATTTTATTGTGTTTTGGTTCCGTGTTGAAACTACAGTAATGTCTCAATCCCATCTTACTTCCTGTTGCGCATGTGCAAGAACACCATCCTGCCATATTTGTGTTAAGCTTGACAGGCATAAAGTTGTCAACTTTTGATCCAATGTGATTAATAACAACGGCATACATAAAGTTATCGCAGCTTTCTATGTTATATCATATATGTTTTTGAGGAAATTGATAACTTTTTATATCATAGAATATGTTACAAATATCTATGTGCAAATGAAAATCTGAGCTAAAAAAAATGTTGTTTGAAATGTATATTTAGCACACATGAAAAAAAGTGAATCTTTCATATATCCACATCTTTAGAAAGAGCTCTCCATTAGTTTTCTGTATATTTGTGAAAAATGACATGATCTTACCACGTCAGATAAAAACGACAATAATTATCGACATTCTCACTTAACATAATGAAAATGTTTCTGATAACTAAAGTGGGCATGAAGGACTATGAGGTCAGAACTACTAATGACGGTGTTGGGGCCCAAATGACTAGGCAGTCAGACTTTGAAGGGCTGAAACAACTTGTAGTGATAAGAGAAGGGAAATACATATTTGGTCTGTGTGCATACAAGGATTCTATGAAGATCCACAAAACATTTAACAGATCGAGTCTAAATTGAAGTGGAAAATATTTCAAGGAATATATTATCGGCAACATCTGCAAATCAGTCTGCTGTTAAAATCACAACAAATCATACACATTATTTAGAAATGAACGTCAAGTTAGCACGGTAAAGCTATGCTCGCCTTTGTTGTAAAACGCAAAACTAGGTAAATGATAACTGTACATAGCAAAAACTTTCTTAAAGATATACAATAATTGGCGAAAAAACAGCTTCTACTGCTCTCATGGATTTTGGTGAACCCCCATCACGATGCATCATCTCATTGACCCCGATCTAAAAATTCACCTGAAATGAACTTCAAGAATTGTGTCTATACACGTCCGATCAATCCCGTGACTACATCGCACATTGAGGAAAAATACCATGTTATTCAAAGATTGGAAGAAACTTTTCTAATAACCAATAATAATCGTACAAACCTCGCTGCACCAGGGGTTTGCCCTCGCTTATTTTTCTTCTGTGCACTCATCATGTAGCCTTTGGAGGACAGGCTGTCAAGAATGTTTGAGAGTGAATAAAGTTGATCAGGTGCGGGTCATACTGACACCGTTACGGTAAACGATTTGTTTTCTATCTGATGTTTGTCCTGAACAACAAAACGGTTGTTATATTCACTTGAATGGTGGTTAAAATGTCGATTTTACGATATTCACGGTCCTACTTCAGAATGTAGAAGGCGCTGTGATATCCTACCGGAGGAGACGGGAACTATTTTTCCACACAGGAAATGAGATGATTTTCAAGTATTATTGGATATTGTTTCAAAATATCTTATCTGAATACTAATATAAAAATCGTTTTGCAACATTTACATGCGAATTTAAAAAGAGAACGAATTTATGTAAGCTAAACATATGAACTACATTTCGCAGCGAGCTTTTAATTTGTCATGCGAAGTAAGTAGGTTCATGGTCATCACACGAACCTGCCGCAACACCGCAAACGTGTTAAAGGGAAAAATGAAAAGGAAAAAAAATAAAATTTCATTGTGCAATTTTATAAGTGCTATTCTTTGAAATATTCGACAAATCTACGTACAATTTGAAGATTGATTATGTAATTTTGACGTAAAATTCGATGGTTTCATATTACTGGGCATGCGCCAGGAAAAAATGGTAAACTTCCGGAATCGGGACTTGCTTCTTCCGGAATAAGTAGAACCTCCCAGGAAATCTGACAGAAATGGATTATATGAAACGATGTGTAAAGTGTCAGACAATGAATGTAAACATTTCTTCTGATATTTACTTACGAAAATAGTTGACCATGTAATCTTATCTTAACTCATATATGTTCCTCAACATTCCTTTGGATATCGGACATTATCAGTAAATTTCAGCCCACTGACCTGAGAGAGATGACAAGATCTAGTTCAACATTGGTTCTTCTGAGTTGAGAAGTGAAACTTCTTATGGCCGTTAACAAGACACATGGATACAAAACGATCGTTTATGTATTCATATTTTGATGTCAATGGTGTACTTTTTATTTGAATAAGTTTTTAAATAGGAGTCATGGCAAATGCAGACCCGGGTCGTGATTATTCGGACGATGAAGATGAGGATGCTGCCATGAGCCAGGCCACTGCCCCTTTAGAGGAGAATCATGTCCATCCCAGCCCTGGCTCCAGTAAACAAAATGGAAGTGCAATGAGCCATGTCGACCGTTATGGTTTTATCGGTGGTTCTCAGTACACAGATCCTGATGAGTATGTCGCTGAACCATAAGAATTTTTGTCACTGGTCATGATATATATTCTGTCAGATACCCATATGCTGTAATTAATTATCCATTTACTTTGCTAATATGCAATCCAATTTTGTCTACACATACAGGTTAATATTAAGCCATATTCATTTGTGCTACCGAAGCACGCAGACATGTTAGAGGAACAGAAACATTGTCAAGCTACACTGTATGGGGATTAAATTACCTCTGTAGAGAATATATATATTTTGCTGCATTCATTAAAAAACAAACAAGACAACATTTTCATTCTTAAGAATAAAAAAATTGGTCTACTCCTGATCAAGCTACTGTTTTCAAAATGCAGTTGAGGCCTATTACAAAGAGATGATTGCAGAGTGTCATATACATATAGGGATAAAGCAACTAAGAGATTATACTAGGGACTTGGTAATAAAGCAAGAGGTGACCTAGACCCAAAGTTGAACTGAAGTCCAGGTCTTCAATGCCTTTAAAACAAATAGATAAACATAAGGTTAAATTTTGGATTTATTGCACCATAATCAGCTTGGGTCATTTTAAGACAGAATCTCCTTTTAATAGTTAGTGAATTACTTCAGTGAACAACATACAGGAGACTAGTTACAAAATAAGCCATCCAGATCTATTAATGTAAAATATCTGAGGAATGTTAAATCATGCTTTATTAAATAAGCTATCATTGCCCCTGATCAGAAATGGTCTTGTACCAGTAATAAACTTAACATACCATTATATGTTTACACCACCTGAGATGTAGTAGAGTTGATATATTGTACTTATAAGTCCATTGAACTTGAATTGAACAAAGAAATAATACAAATTTACTTTTTCATATTATTCATAAGAAAGAATGAAATGTCTTTTTTGGTGTAAACATGGTGGGAAAATATACACAGACTTATATTTGTTTGGGTATCTGAAAAATTTGGATTTTGTTGTTTCTTCAAGGCACATTTATGAATTCTTAAGAGGTATATTAGTATAATTTAGTACAAAATTTCTTTAAATGACTGCCATACTGGTATTGAACTGTTCCTTTGTTTTAAATTTGATTACCTGATAACTATTGAATTTCATGTCAGAAATAACAGTTTATCTAAAGTTTTAACATCAGTATACATTGTTTTCTCATGTATATGAAATATTTAAGCTAAATTGGGCTATTTAAGCTAATGTATTTTTATCTTTTTCAGTGAAAGAAGGTTGCCAACCGAAATCCTAAGAAAACGAGAATTAAAATGGTTAGAGATGTTTGAAAATTGGGAAAAATGGATGAGTAAACGTTTTAAAAAGGTGTGTACCTCCTAACCTTGTAAATTTAGTTTTCCTTTCATATATATTGATATAGACAAGAAACTTCAAGAATATTGTCTTAGATTTTTGGAAAAATTATTTACATACCAAATAGAAATTTAACATATCATTATTACAATTAATTGAATTAAATAAACCCTACCATTACAACCAAACAATGACCAGTATTTATTTTTTATAATTATCTCTGAATAGAGCCTTTCATAAATTTAGAATTATAATTTTTATAATCAAATTATATATTAAACAGAGTTCTACATTTTCTTTGTCCTGCTAGGACTTTACGTAAGTGTTAACCTTGATTAATTTAAGAAATGTGTTTTAGAATTATTATAAACAACATAGATGAGGTTTGCATGTAAAATGTGAAATTTTTTTTATCATTATTTTAGATTAAAGAGCGGTGTCGTAAAGGTATACCTCCATCTCTGCGCTCAAGGGCCTGGCAGTACTTGTGTGGTAGTAGGTTCCTCATGGAGAACAATAAAGGCAGATTTGAGGTAAGTTATTATTCATTTAATGGGTTAATGTTCACTATTACAGCCTTTCAGCCAACAAATTGAGGTAAGAAGTGATCCCCGAATAGGTAGAGTTCTCATCAACTAGAGTCATGGGTAAAGTAACATTCAATCTGAGGTAAGAAAAGATGCCCCAGGAAGCAAGATTTTCCCTAAATCCATGATTTTACAATATCCTGCATCTGTACTTAGTGATAAATCTACATGCAAGTCTTGAGTCCTGCACTCATAGAACTTCGATGGAGGTCATAGAATTTCTGGAAGTAAAGTTTTGCACTATGTGACCCATTGCTTTTAGCAATGAAAATAAAAAGATTTATGAAAATTAATTACCTGGTATATATTGATCAGTGTACACATATAATTTCCAATACAGGACACTGAAATATCAAAAGATGTGTCACATAGGATGCAGCAATGTTTCGTTTCGAAGAGTAAATTATGCATTGAAGTGGAGATCCCTGTGGCTAGAGCTGATACCATACTAGATATATCAGCATTGTGATATATCTCAATTACAGATCTTGTGATCAATGTCGCGGCTGGCAAAACAATAAGACAGCATCATTTCTTGGTTTGAAATGCATGCATATCAGTTTGTGCTGATAGAACTGATCATTCAGTACATAAATCTCTTTGTGAGTAACATGTGCACAACATACCAATTCAGCAAATAAGAATGTCTTCTCACATGAATAAGTCATGGCTGAAAAACTGTTACAATGTTGGTCAGGCAATGATGGATGGGAAAGTGGACCTAGGTCAAAGCTCTGCATGTTGTTTACAATACAGGTATGACTGGAGTGAGACTTTCACAAACAATGGCTATTAATGATACTTTATTGTAATTCTGAATTCAGTTTGGGTGCCACAAAACAGATGGTTACATACTCTGTCACTACATTTTTTACGCTGTCACATGTGTTCTTTTATGTAAATAAATTGCCTAATTTTCAAAATTGTCACATGTTTTTATCAGCTTTGAATTTGAAAGGAATTTCCCGAATAAATTGATTGGTCAAACTGGATAATGGAATTTCACTGTGAATATCGGCATATATAACATAGACATGTGACTGGAAGTGTATAAAGCATGCACAATCAAGAAAAGAATAGCTTTTTCACTATGATGTCCCTTTCAGTTTTGTACAGGATCCCTGAATTAGCAATCAAATAGTCCCTTGGACCCTCATAATGATGTAAAATCCAACTTCAAAACCATGTGTCAAGTACATGAGGGCAGCAAATTCGACTTGACACATGAATTTGGGGACAGATGAAATATCTCAAGTTAGGTGCGCTAGTAAAAAAATGATCCCTTTAAGCCTGGTTTTGAATCATCCATCAAATAATGATAGTCTCTTAGACTCACAACTGTTGCCTGTTGACTGTCTTGTCATTTGTAACGGGTCATTCTGATGAATTGTTAACTATTCAATATATTCACATTACCTAGGGTTTTCCATAAGAGCCGGTCGCCGGCCAATTTGACCAGCTACTTTTGATCATTTGGCCGTCTACACCAATCCAGTTGCGTCATAATGTTCCATACACGACTACACGTACACGGCAGGCCAGCCTCCTATTTTCACTACACAGCCTACTACTAACAAAATTATGGAAAACCCTGATTACCAATCTGAACTGTGCAATTTTTTCGTTTTAGCTATCAATGGCTCACTCATTTTAGCATTAGCCATCTAAATCTGCGGTTAAGATCTGTGGCATGTAGTTTGATCCAGGACAGTTTTGTGTTTCCTTGATCCCTGTCCAGGACAGGTTTGTGTTTCCTTGATCTCTATCTAGGAAATGTTTGTGTTTCCTTGATCCCTATCCAGGGCAGGTTTGTGTTTCCTTGATCTCTATCCAGGACATGGTTGTGTTTCCTTGATCTCTATCTAGGACAGGTTTGTGTTTCCTTGATCCCTATCCAGGGCAGGTTTGTGTTTCCTTGATCCCTATCCAGGGCAGGTTTGTGTTTCCTTGATCTCTATCCAGGACAGGTTTGTGTTTCCTTGATCTCTATCTAGGACAGGTTTGTGTTTCCTTGATCTCTATCTAGAACATGTTTGTGTTTCCTTGATCCCTATCCAGGACAGGTTTAGTTTAAACATATTTTATTGCCGAAAGCAAATGGATTGGGCACAAGTTATCACAACTTATAAGAGCCCTCTCCACAATAATATATACAATAAATGTGACAACAGCTATGTACAGTTACAACTCATTTTTAAATATAAAATGTAGTAGGGAAAAAGGAAGGAAAGAAAAGATGGGAGAGGAAGAGAAGAAATTGATTTAACAATCTGATGTAGTCAACACTCATGTCTGGCACTATAACTGCACAACACATCATTCCTTCTTACACAGTTCATTAAAACACCATTCCTATAGCCCATCTCGTTCTCTTCAAGGCTTTCAATTAAGCTGAACTAAAGTGCCAGGCAAACATTCCTCGTAATTAATTAATAACATTCAATATTAAAAAATTAATATAGTTACTAGTAGCTATTAGAGATACAGAAAGGAGAAGAAGGCAAGATCACGAATTCACAGAGTGAAGTCAGAATCTGTTGCTGGCCCGCATGTATGTTTGTACGATTTGAAAAATGTCTTTTTTTTTAGTAACGGCGAGTTCAGATTTTCGAGACAAAAGAGTTTCGAGATTAATTGGGTAATACGGACGCAAATTTACAAACATGTTTGCTCTCAAAACAGTATAATTAGGACATTCAAAAAAATAATGATATGCATCTTCACAAAAATGTCCACAAGAACATGATGATGATTTTACTAAGTTTACACGGTACAAATCGTTATTTAACGCACTGCAGTTATATCTTAATTTAGTATGAATTATATTTAAACGACGTGGTCCATGACTAAAAAAAATAGTAGATTTGTTTTGTCTTGGACTGATAGTTTTTCTAAATTTAGACACAGTTGGTAGATTTCTTATTTCATCAGGAAGATTGTTTCAGAGTTTAATAGTGTTAGGCAGGAAAGACCGTCTGGTATTGGTTAGTCTATAATTCGGTAATACATAATCATTATTATTTCTTAATTCATACCTGTTTAAATTACTGTTAACTGTTGGTAAAAGATCGTGTAAATAAGAAGGTGTTAGATTATTATGGATCTTGTAAAATAAAATCAAATTTCTTCTATTTCGTCTGTTTTCTAATGATTCCCACCCTGTTTCAAAATATAATGCTTGCCTAGTAACGTAACTTGGTAGACCGGTCACAATTCTCGCTGCTTCTAATTGTAATTTTTCTAGTAAATCTGAATGAAATTTAGAACAACCACTCCAAACTTCACAAGAGTACATTCAAGAACTGGCAGTATAAATAAGGTATAAATTTTAGATAGAGTTTTTCTATTTACTAAAACTTAATTGCCTTAAGGCATTGATCTTTTTTAATACTGACTGATATATAAAGTCAACATGATTCCCCCACTTTGCATTTGCACTTAATAAAACTCCTAAGTGCCTGTGGCTTTCTGACATATTTAATCTTGTTTCACCAAATTGTAAATGAATGGCATTGTTTCGTAACGTGTTTGAGATAAAAATGACATTAGTTTTATTAGGATTAAATGTTACCAACCACTTTTTCGACCAATCTATTATACGCTGCATATCAAATTTTAAAATTCGTTCTATTTCTAGTATAGAGGAAGAGCCATAAGTCAATGAAGTATCGTCGGCAAACAAACGTGATACACTTAATAATTCATCAGTTATATCATTGATGTATATTAGGAACAAAAGAGGCCCTAAAATTGAACCTTGGGGAACTCCAGCTTTAATTGTTTGGTAATTAGAAAAATGTTCACCTACAAATACTCTTTGTTGTCTTGATTTTAAATAATGTATTAACCAGTTCAGAATGTTTCCTGATATACCATAAGATTTAAAATTTGATACTAGACCCTTGTGCCAAACTCTGTCAAATGCTTTTGAAATATCACAAAAAACAATGCATGTGTGTTTCTCTTCCTCAAGATTGAGACAAATGTTGTGGTAGATTTCAATGAGTTGGTGAACGGTAGAGTGTGTAGGCATAAAACCAGATTGCCTTGAATAAAATAACAAATTTGTTAAAAAATAATTATAAATATGCTTAAACAGATTTGTGTTTCCTTGATCTCTATCCAGGACAGGTTTGTGTTTCCTTGATCTCTATCTAGGGCAGGTTTGTGTTTCCTTGATCCCTATCTAGGACATGTTTGTGTTTCCTTGATCCCTATCCAGGACAGGTTTGTGTTTCCTTGATCTCTATCTAGGACATGTTTGTGTTTCCTTGATCCCTATCCAGGACATGTTTGTGTTTCCTTGATCTCTATCCAGGACAGGTTTGTGTTTCCTTGATCCCTATCCAGGACAGGTTTGTGTTTCCTTGATCTCTATCTGGAACATGTTTGTGTTTCCTTGATCCCTATCCAGGACATGTTTGTGTTTCCTTGATCCCTATCCAGGACATGTTTGTGTTTCCTTGATCTCTATCCAGGGCAGATTTGTGTTTCTTTGATGAAGATTTGAGATGTGTAGTTGGAACTTTTTCCAGGGCAGGTTTGCAGGTGAAGGTCTGAAATGTATGGTTTGATCCTTACCCAGGGCAGGTTTGCAGGTGAAGATCTGAGATGTATGGTTTGATCCTTACCCAGGGCAGGTTTGCAGGTGAAGATCTGAGATGTATGGTTTGATCCTTACCCAGGGCAGGTTTGCAGGTGAAGGTCTGAGATGTATGGTTTGATCCTTACCCAGGGCAGGTTTGCAGGTGAAGGTCTGAGATGTATGGTTTGATCCTTACCCAGGGCAGGTTTGCAGGTGAAGGTCTGAGATGTATGGTTTGATCCTTACCCAGGGCAGGTTTGCAGGTGAAGGTCTGAGATGTATGGTTTGATCCTTACCCAGGGCAGGTTTACAGGTGAAGATCTGAGATGTATGGTTTGATCCTTACCCAGGGCAGGTGTGC